AAGAATGTTAAGCATTGTTTATATTATACCATGGCAAAAGCAACATTGTTATTCCACAGGCATAGTATTTTTTTTCTATATGTGCATCTATATATGCTTTCTCAACTGATAATACAGATGCCACAAAGCCATCAGCTTGTGTCAATAGTGTGGGCAGCTTGGAAAAGACCCAAACTCAGACATCTGACAGCCCGAATAACATTGTGGGATCAAACCTGACAGAAGTCCCTTCTACCTAAACTGTATGGCATTAAAACTGACAGCCACAGCTTTGGCAGAGGTCTTTAATCCATATTTTCAGTTCAGCACAGGATAAAGTAGAGCGGAGGTTTCTTCTTTTGTGTCTCACTTGCAGATATTTGAGTCTTGATAATAGTAAACAAGTTTCCATTATATGCATTAATCATTAATACTAAATTTTAATTTGTTTAAAGGTTAGAGGGTGTGAACTGGTATATCTCTGGACACTCAAATATCTGGATATGCTCTTGTCACTTTGAATTTTGTAATAGATTTCTGTCTAAATCAGACCACATTTACTGTATGTATGTAAACTCTCAGCTGTGAAATCTCGTTATTTCTCACCCAGGCTGAATCTTCCATTTGAATAATTTACATAAAACTGCATGATTTAGAACATTACTTTAGGAGCTGGGAGGAAACTGGGGAACCCAGCAAATCACACAAAAGCAAAGGGAGAATATGTAAGCTCCACACCGATAGAGATGTTCAAGGCCAGAATGTAAAACAGAGCTGTGGTACTGCAAGGCAGCTACAGTACAGTACTGTGTGTTAACCACCAAGCCACCATGCTTCCCACTTTATACTGTAACTCATGAGCTTGAAACCCTATCATATTTAAAATAATTCTTTGTCAGTGTTAATGAAACCATTATGTCTTGCATTAAGGATGCCTCTTTAACCTGTATCCTCATCAAAACATTTTACATCAAGGCTTTGTGAGTTCTATAACCTGTGGTTAGTTGATGATGTAAGCTGCCATTAAGTACTGAGCAAAGGTAAAGGTTTTGAGTTCAAACAGGAGCCCTGTTTATGGAACTGGGGTGAGAAATCAGCAATGAGGCTCAATTATAGCCTGCAGGGGACTGTGCTCTTTGATGAGCAGAGTGGTGATAATGATTAAGTATGGTTTATCCACTGATTTGTTGTGGGTCTTTTGTGGAAGGGGAAAGTCAACAGGGACTGTGTTTTCAGCCTTAGGGGACTGACTATTGGACATAATCAGCATTTGCTATTATGCTGAGGTTTGGTAGCAATGCTCTGCAATGACCTCACATTTACAAGTGCTAGATTTGTTTCTGGCAATGTAATTGGTTTTTAAATACATGCAGAGGTTTTTGTTTTACTCTTAACTGTCTATGCATAAGTATTTTGTGATATGTTTCCAACCCTGTAATTTTATTTTGTATAACTTCATGATCAAATCAGTTTCTTTTGAAAGAAATGGGGTTTGAAGAGTGAATTGTTCATACTGTACATATGTTTATGTTTGTAATCCTTGTTTTTATTGTTTAAATCCTTGTAACTTTATGTTTCTTATATTAAAGTATTTTCGTGATGTCCTCTTCTGAGGTGTGCAATGGTGAAGGTGTAAGCATGTATTTCTGATTTAATTTAACTGAATATTGATGTATTGTTGTAATAGAAATATTGATGATAGTGATGACGATGATTGCCAGCAAATATAATAATAATCATCAATGTTAAGAGCGAAAGGAATATTTAATAATCCAAGATCTCTAAATGCCTTAAGCATCCTCAAGGGACATTTAATTCGAGGCACATCTGTACGTTCATAAATAATTTGAAATTGTGCTTTGGTTTGCAGGAAAGTGTTTGAAGGAAAAGGGAAAAAAGCACATTTAAAGAAATGAAGAAACTGATGAGGCAAGGCTTAATACATTATTAATTACTAGCTCTGAATTTCCAAATACTTTGTGCTAAAATTAAAAATAGGACTGTGATGAACCAAATTATCAGATCTTTATTTCAATAATAATAGGAAGAACTGCACCATCAGTGTCTATTCTTCAATTGTATAGGTGTCTAAGTCGATCAATGGAGTTGAACAATGTGAACAACATACTTCATCCTTCCTGTCTCCCTCCTCTAGCAGAGACTGGAACTAAGCATGCTGCTTTTCTTTGGTGATAACTCAGTCTGTCAGTCAGCCCTCTCCTTCATGTAGATGCAAATTGGCATGACTGGCCAAGTGAAGAAAAAGGTTGGTCTGTATATTATTCAGGCAGCAGGGAAAACCTAGTGACTGTTTTTAAATTTTTCTTATTTTCCATGATTCACAAATGAGGACAAAGTCAAGCTTGAGGTCAATGACATTTGTTATTCGTTGCTTTTGTCATTTACTGTTGCAACTGTTGTTTCAGTTGAGGTCATTTTTTTGTTATATTTGTTCTGTCATCACCTTTTTCTTATTTAAAATCTTCTTCTAAACAGTATTCCCCTTAAAAATCATTGGAACTGAAATGGTCATTTAAAAACATCACATTTAATCTCATATCATATGCATTCAATTCTTAAAATTTCTCAATAGTTTTTTAAGTACTGTCCAGAATTTTCCAGATAACCTGTGGTGCACAGACTAGCATAGTTTCACTCAACAGTAGATGTGGGCAAAATGCATTGACTACATGACTTCCCGAACCATATTTGTAGTTAAACACCCTTTGCTGTAAGATGAAAGTGGCTTTCTCTCATTTTTTTGGTGCACTTTCAGTGTTGACTGTTTCAAGAAGCTCATATATTTAAATGAGGACTTACAAATTGTATAAAAAGTTGTATTTGAAAAGGATGTGCATGAGAACAGCAATTTTTAAACAGACAATATTAAGAAATGTAGCTTGCATTGGACAGCCTGGCTAACATGTCTTCTACTATTCCAGGACAAGTGCTTTCTGTAATCTAAATTAAATCTTACAAGCACACTTTATCACAGCAAATTAAATTAGGTGAGATATAATTGTATTTTATTCATTCTGCACAGGCATAACTGTTGCACTATGGATAATATGCGTGGGCTCTAAAAGAGCTGATGAGACCAGCTTCTCATTTTGTTTACCCGCTGTCTGTCTAGCTTATTGAGTTATCCTCCTTCAACTTGGTTTGCCTTTGATTGATTTGAACTTCTATGGGAAGAGGCAGCTTGCCTCAGGCAGAGGGAGAGGCTAGGGCGAGATTGGACCATTTCATATTTGCCTACTCTACAATTTGATTTGCTGTAAACATGCCATTAGTTCAGCTTCCTTAACTTCTACACAAACAAGCAAAAGCTGTGGGTCTTTCTCATACAGGACCCCCACTTCATCTACTACCCTGCTACCACAATTAGTGATTATGAGAGATGGAGCCTTATCTCTGTGGTCTGACTTACCGTACAGTGTCAGTGTTTTGAGCATCTAAGAAGTTGTAAGTCCTTGGTAAAATAGAAGTTTTACCTACCATCAAAGTCCACATCTAGCAGTTTTCTCAACCTTCATATCCAAGCTTCATAGTCATACTGAGAAATTCTAAATGGTGATACTGCCAACTGAAAGCAATTGTTCTTTCAAAAAATCACTTGATTGGGTTTTCCAGAAAATGTCTGCATCCTACGATGTAAATAAAATTCTTCAGTAGGAGCAACTACAAAAATCTCTGCATCACAAGCAAAATCAAGCAGACAGTCCCGTTTTATGCTTGAGGTCATATTACATTTGGATGGAGTTTTATTGTTTTATACTCTATACAGCCATAGATCCTTGGATCAATAGGAAAGCAGCAACTACACAAGCACCATAGGCTTAAAGGTCTACTCAGAATTCTAAGTCTGTCAAGTTCTCATTATTATTTGGGATTGAAAATGTCAGTATTGAGTTGTTTTGAAAACTAATACAGTTTTGTTACATATTCATGAACAATTTCAGTTATTGTAAGCATTGGTGATCTGTAGTGCCACCTTGAAATCACAAGAGATTATTTTTGAGTCTTAAACATGAAATAATGTGATTATGTACATCAGCCGTTGTCTTATATCCTCAACGGCAGAAATACTGTTTCCTGTATAATAAAGTATAAAATTGAGATTTAAAATGAACAAAATACATACTGTAGATACTAGATTTTGTATTATAAGAATTGTTTTCATGTTCTCTGCTTCATATTTCTCCTTATTTCTCCTTTTTTTTCCTCATATTTTTGCTTGTTGGCATAAAGCCACATGTTATGACTGTCTCTTCTGAAATGGATGGGTTCAAAGTGCAGGTCTGTTTTCCTTTTTTGTGTGATGTGACAGGGTGCTTAATGAGAGAAAAAATGGATTGACTACTAATGTAAGCACAAAACAAAGTGGTTTATTTCTTCCCGGTCTTATTTGATTGAGCAGTTCAGAAATATGCAGATATAAAATTTTTATTTTACCTAAGTGCATACATTATGTCAATGGAAATCTTATATGCTTTATGCAGTCTAGAGAACAAGACTGTAAGGTAATAGGTAACATGTCCATCAACACAAAAGACCAAATTTAGTTTTGGTCTTATAAATCTAGAGCCATAATCTTAGCTTTGTTTTCACTGTTTAGATTTTTGACATCATGGAGGAAACATTTTTTTGCAAGCAATCCATACCTGAAGTATTCTTGTTCTGAAAACATTTATTTTTTGGATTATTTGCAAAATACTTTACAAATACAGTATGGCTGGCAAAGTATGCTATGCCATGATTATGTACAGTATTAATGCTGGATCAGTGATGTGGAAAATAATCTTTTAGGTGTTATGTTCCAAAAGAACCTTAAAAGATTGAAAACCGATCCCAGCAATTACTGTACATGTTATTACAGATAAATGGTTCAATTCACAAACCACTTGGCCAGTTTAAACTTTTTACTCTGATGTGTAGCTTTAGCAAGTGCGATGTTTTAAACCAGCTAATGAATGGTTGGTACAGTATGTAAGACAAAATCATCAACAGATACCAACAGATTAAGAAAACCATGTGGCTTTATTTTGATTTCCTGGCTTCAAACAAACAGAATGTCTACTTTGATGCTAGGAGTGCATACACATACAGCACAAAAGCCTATTGTGTAATAAAAATTAAATTGCTTTCTTGTGCAACTTGCATCTGGGAAGCTTACAACAGTCTGGGCCTGACTCATGTCATACCATTCTGTGGTATTATGCATTGTTACTGTTGTACACCATTATCTTTTTTACCGAGAAGATACAGCACAGAGCATATTAGATCTTTTATGCATCAATAATTACCACTACTCAGCTGTTCAGTAAGTTCCTTACATTATGTTTGGTTAAAAGTAGTGACAGCATTTGACTGTGTTTAAAAAAAAAAACTTATCTGTGCTCTCCAGTCCTGGTTATGGATAACCCTAATATTTTCACTGAGAAAACATGAATCTTGAATAACTAAAGTAATAATTAAGTACTTGAGAGCTCAGCGGAAAGCAAAAGACCCTGTGATTAGAACCAGTATCTGTGACCCATAACATTAGCTGATGAGCTTGAATGATCATAATTGTAAAGTATTTACTATAAGATGCATAATTAATCGCTTTCCATGGCAATAATTCACAAACAAGATGAAATATTACTCAAAAAACCAATGTGGTAGAGAAAGTCCAATATGAACAGGCTGCATCTATTGTTTGTTGCTCAAGTGCTCTCAAACAGTATTTGAAGAGTGTTAGTAGATGTACTGTACTGCAGCTTTTCCACAGGATAAAAAAGGCAGCTTCTGGCATTTTCATCTTCTCCATTCTTCATTTTCTTGTATTCTTCACAAGGGATAAAACTGAGAAGCAGCTTCTGAGGACTGGATTTCAACTTGAGCCATTTTGAACTGAGTGCACTGTAGCCACTTGCGTAGAACTGACGGAATTGTATTTGCTTGTCCATAGGCCTGCAGACCCTGCAGATGCTGATGGTTAACATGGTTCTGTATGGCTTGGAGGCGTAGCTGTAGCCCTGCTGACAAATGCTGTAAACAAGTGAGGTTTTTTAATTATTATTTATTGTAGATTTCAACAGGTCACTTATTTTTTTATTACCTACCCACCAGTCCCCATTATGGAATACTCAACTGGCTTAAAACTGGACTCTCCAAAAGTAACTCCTGTGGCACGCATGAGAGAATGGCATGTGGATGGGTGGCCCACTACTCACTAATTCATTTCAAATGGAAACATTGTAAAGGTGCCCAGCAAGTACAGTAATAAGAGTCACTGTTTTCTAGAAGGCCAAGAAGAAAATCATCTTGGCCAACTAATTCCAGTCTTGTTGATGTGGTGATCTGCTGATTGTGAACCACTGTTTACGGAACACAAGTCTAGGACCCAGGCTCGAATGAGAGAAATCTCTAGCTCAACCTGAGTTTTGAGGGACCACCTTTGCACCAAATGAACAACTCTATTCTCAAAATCATCTGTCACAAAAGGGGCAATGCATTATCCTTACCTTCAGGTTGGACTGAATCATAGGCAGCCACATGGGAATGAGCTTTCCAGGGGAGGCAGAAAGGCAAAAGGGCATTTTAGGTTTTGAGTATTCTGCAGTTACATCAGGTTCACAGTAGTTTAACAGTACAAGGGACAGATTCTTCAAATATGACAAAATAAAGTAAAGTAATGTAATGCCACTTTATTTTAAACCCCAGTTAAAGAAAATATATATTTATTTGTATTGTATTATTTGTATTGAATTGTATTTGTATTTAATGTATATTGTTTTGTATCATTATGTATACTGTATATACAGTCCACTTCAAAAGTATTGGGACAGCAAAGTAAAAAAATATATATTTTTTTTGTTTTATGAGACAAACATGAATGGTGAGAAAAATATAGTGTATAGTTTGTTTGGGTACAATTTATTTAGGGTAATTCTATGAATAGATAGATCATAATAGTGGTCATCCTAGTGATTTCAACTGACCTGTACTGGAACACATTAACTCTCCCTTTGCATGTACCTTCAAGGCAATAACCCACTGAGCTCACAATATTCTTTATGTAATCATCTGAGATGCTTTGTCAAGCCTCTGCTGCAGTTTTCCTTTTGAGGTTTTCCCGTGTAAATGCCTGTTTATGTGGATTTAAATATGGAGATTGACACAAACTCATTGGTTAGTTGTCTGTTCTGTGTTGATGTGATGCCCAGTAAGTATGGAAGCACCTTCTTCTATATCAGTAGGCAAAGTGAGCCAGTTCCAGAGGGGGAAAGGCATGCCCTTTCCACCATGCTTGGAAGTGCAATTATGAACCAGGAGAAGTTCAGAACAAGGTTTTATGTTATGGACAGATGAGATCAAGATAAACCTAAGCACTGGAAAGGTTAAAATATGGAGAAACAAAGGAACTGCAGATGCTCCAAAGTATGCTACCTCATCTTAGAAGTGATTGTTTTTACATACCAAAATGGAACACAACTAAACTAGTCAAGTCTAAATACACTAAAACAAAAGTGAAGGGATTGCCGATCCCTTAGTAGTACTACTGTATGTGGCATGTGCTACTTATTGCTGCTGTGCTATAAATAAAGTTATACAAGCTTACCAACCTTAACAAAAATGGTGGAATTGCATTCCTGAAGGGCCTCCATTAGGCTGATTACATGCAGACAGACCATTTCTACCATCTGTGAGTAAAAGAGGACAATTAGGGAAAGTTCATAGGATTGTCGTTTCACAGAAGACGGCGCCATCTTAAGATATAATTCCATGCTTCAAGATGACACAGAGGTGAATGGGGTTTTAATGCAAACAGCAAGGGGTTTTAATGAGGTCGGGGTAGAATGCTACACTTTGTGCTGCAGTAAGGAAGAAGAGCAGTATAGTATGTGTATGCTTAGGTTTTTGGGATGTTTATCATTACTACAGCTACTGTTTACAAATGGTTGTTGATATGCAGCCATACAACCAACATCAGCATATAATTTTGTATTTATTGTATGGGGTTAAACACATTTAAAATGTATAATATGCATATTACATATTATTAATTCCTGATTTGTAATTCAACACTACAATTTTCTCTGTAAAAAGATGCAGTTTTGATCATTCATGCATTCATTTATTTATTGCAGTCAATCTACAGTATAAGTCAGATGTAGTTATAACAAATTATAACAAAGGTGATGTTTATTAAAGGATTAAAGGAGGACAATTAAAGGCGATGAAGATGGAAGGCCTTGACTGCAGAGAGGCTGTTACCATAATCCTTTGCCCTAGAGGAACAGCAAATAGACCAATACAGAACAAAACTAACAAAATTAATAATTGATTGTCTTTCACAGCAAATATAAGTTTCTTTACATATATAAAGTATATTAACCGTAGTTTATTTGGTGGGGGAACTTAAGAACCTCATCTATAAATCATGAAGGTAAAGAAAAGTTAGTTATGCAGCAGTGCTTCATCACAGATGAGAGAACAAGGAAAGTCTCAAACATCATCTTGAAATAAATTACGCAAACAAATGCAGCCTACTGTCAGAAGAGGCAAACTACTGTAACGCTTCACCTATGTTAGGCTTCAGTGGGCATCAGAACAGTATACTGTAGAAGGAACATTTCAGCTGTCATGTTTAATTTCTCCCTGCGTAAGTCAGTTCAATAACTCCAGTTTATCTGCATGTCTCAGCTTCATCCCTGACAATATGTTATTGTATACTTCGCATCTTTTAAAAAATCTTCTTTGTAGTGTCTTATTATCTTGTTTTGAATAAATGTTGTTGAAGAACCGTCTCTGTCATTGTACATGTATTGAGAGTAATACTGTAGAGGCATACAATTGTTCTGATAATGGGAGTTGTTGATATGGACTACAAATATTTGCTGTGTTAGGATCTCTTAGATCTGCAAAGAATTCTTAAAATATACTCTTACCTCTTCTGTCCCCATTCTAAGCCCTTAACGACTTACAGTAATTGAACCTCTTCAATAACCTAATCAATTGTTTATTAAGACTTCTGAAATTGCTTTTCTGTACTTCTACACTGTATACATTTCAAAGCACCTGTGAAATTAATAAGTAACTTCAGTTTTTGAAAATGACTAAATTGATTACTTTTCTGTGAGTTCAGTTAGGATTTTAGTTCTGTAAGAGGTTGCCTGAAACAAGCACTAACCGTTTCATCAGTTACAAAGTTGTTCAGTAGGGCAAAGTGAACAGTGTTGTTCTGCTTACAAAAGACAGTGACTAATGTCTAATTGCATTCTTACCACTTTGTTGTGGGCCATGAGCTGCAAAATGCTGGGAGTGACCCGGCTCCAGAATTCAAGGCCAGTGAGGATGGCGGTCGATGAGAACTCATTTTGGTTTTGTAGCATAGGGGCTGCAGCCGCCTGTTCACAATAAATCGTCCATAGCTGGGCAAACATGAACGCATGGAACAGCGAGCACATGTGCAAAACCGATGTCTTAAAAGATAAAAACAAAAATATAAAATAGACTTAGATCAATCGAAAATGTTTCAAGAATTTTTGAAGTTCAAGAATTTTGAGTTACAGTACATTTCATACTATAAAGTACCTATTTACTTTTGTGTTTTTACATTGATTTCAAGCTTTGTATTGTTGCCCTGTTGTGAAGCTCCTTTGTGACTAAGCTTGAGCTTTATGTCAGAAGACACCAGTGTTTGGCTATAATATTCTTTGTAATGTTTTCTTTGTAAACCTTGTATTGGTAAACTTTGTCTGTCCTTCAGATCTAACTAAGAAATATAGATGGAATTTTCTCTTTAAAATAAACAGATTAATTTATTTTCTTCATAAAAGGCCTGTCATTCTTTGGGAGCATGAGGATCACATTTCCATGCTAGATTTACACCATAACTTTACATGTACAGTACAAATATTTAAATTAATACATAAATAAAATACATATTTACAAGGCATGAATAACTTAAAGGGTATAATAATTAACACAATATGAAAAATTCAATATATTTACATCAAAATATATGTAATGTTTGTTATACTACTGTATATACTGTATTGATGTTTTGAATAATGTAATTTAAATCTATATTTACTGTGATGAATCAACTTTAAGGCATAGGGTTCTACATTTGGAGACTACTCGATGTTAGGTTAAATGAAAGCATCACAGAAACCTCAGATCCTAGATCTGTCTTTTCTGTTTGATACATCACAGAAACGTTTTGCGTAACCAACAGATCAATTTTCTTTTCACTGTCTGAAATTCACAAGATAGATGCACTTTTTTTCCCATTTCTTTTGAAGTCCTAGGTTTGTGGCACTGGATTTGAAAACATGATGTCATTGTGTTGTTATTTCCTGCAGTCTTTGCAGATGACTAAATTTTGGGTGCTTTATCTTCCCCATGAATTTACTTACATTAATACACTTACAGTATGTGAACCTATTCAATAGGTCAGTATCATTTAATATCACAGAGGACCCTTTCCAAGAGATTTGAGAAACTGAGAAAAAAATTAAAGTAATGGTCCAATATAAATTTATGATCTTAACCATAAAACTGACAGAGTACTGCTGAGAAACTATGCTACCAGCAAAAATGATGGACAAGGTGAAGATTAAAAGCCAGTGATTACTGTATGGGAATGCAGAGCGTCAAATTACATGCTTAATCAGTGACATGGAACAAAGTACTCTTGAATAAAATTAGGCACAGAAGTGAACTTAATTACTTCAACAAGATAATCATGATTAATAAAAACCAAAATAGAACATACATTCAATATTACTGTTTAAGGCATCGTTCAGAGACATGAAATGTAAATTACATTTAGACAGCCAGCTGATTAACATTTCTTTTTTATCACTTTAACAACAGGTAATTGAATACTTAATGTTAGACTATTGACACTGGTGAGAGTAAGAAGCCATGCTAGCACACAGACTGTAAATAAAGAGGGAAATCGTAAAAAAAAGTGAAAAGTAAATAAAAAAAATATTTTAAAATTTTTAAATGAAAAATAAAATGATATAGTAAAATACAATGATTTGGCTGTAGAAAATCAAAATCACCCTGTTTATTTCCATTGTTGGGCCATCTATACCTCTCGCATTTTATTAATCTATAAGTGTAGTAAGTCTTTGGCTTTTTTTTGTTAAAATGGAATTCAACGGGAATAATATTTTGAATCTTGAAAATCTAATTTTCTGTGTCAGTACTGAACCACCCTGTTGAGGAAAAATCAGTTTCTGTCAGAAGAGTTAAAATCCTCCTCCTACATAAAACAAAAAATACATAATTATAAATCCTTTTCACTAAAATGTGAGCCATTGTACTCTCAATGGAACCAAAGCTAACTACTGCTCGCATCATTTTCATAATATTATCCCCCACCAGTGCCAGTGTGCACAGATACACTATTCTTGACCCAGAAAGGATTTGTTCATGGGCCTCATCAGTGTCAGAAAAATTTGGCGGCTCTCTGGCTTTTGTAACGCAAAGAGCCACTACATACATTTTAAAACTGCAATGAGCAGTGGCTTTATGCTAAAAAAACTGTACATACTGTACTGTAATTGCAGACCAGTAGTTTCTCACCACAGAATACATCCAACCTTCACACGAGGAGGTTTAATATACTAAATGTAAAAATAAATAAAAGAAAAATACTAGAATCAATAGCATTCATTGCACTTTAAGGTCTCTCAATTATATAAAATTATCAATCTAGCCCAGAGTTCAAAAAAGCTCTTAGAAATTAACAAACATAAATTAACCAGAGGGCACAAGTGGTAACTACATGGAAGAGCATGGAAGATCAGAGCATTTAAAGAAATGTTTTTTTAAATAATGGAATGTGTGTGTACATCTTTAAATAAAGTGGAACTTGGTACCCTGCCCTGTTTTAAAGCCAATACCCTAATTTCTTTTTAAAAAAGTACCAGATGAGATCCTTGGATCAACTAACTACTGCATTAAGTGATAGATAGGAAAAATGGACTCCTGTCATCTGTAACCTTTAGTGTATTGTTAAATTCATGCATAAAAAGATCATGTAAATTGTAAATGAATGCATACAGTAAATAATATATGTAAGTGCACATTGTCATATCTACAACAAATTACTGTACATGCAACAAGTCACAGAAAGAGATTTCCATGTGGTTAGCAGCATGGGAAAAGCTGAAACTTTGGTAAATGTAGTCAATCCTTGGTTTGCAAATATAAAATACACAAATCTATGGAAGGAAGAGGTACCTTGGATTGCTCTGGAAACCCAATCAGGATGACGATCAAGTGATCAGCAACATGAGAACCAGCATCAAGTGGAATTGGCATACAGGAAGTAGAGCCCTGATGCAGTGAACTGTGGGTTAGTGAGCCAAGCAGAAGCCAAGAGAGCTGACGTATATGAGACACGCACTCAATAAACTCCTTAGGCCTGAAAATAGAGATTTTTTTAATTGCAATTGTAGTGTATTCAGTAGCAAAGCCAAAAGGTCACTTTATCAAAGTATAGATTACAGTTTTAAATTTCAAATAATATGAATGAACCTGATTGTATGATAGGGAACTGCTAAGTCTTTAAATAAATGTCAAATAAAGCACAAACTTAGCTGCTTTAAATTGGGACAGGAATCAGTAAACAGAAAAGCCAACATTTTCCTATCACCATTACTTTTCTTCATTTTTAAACACATTTCTCTGTATAGCTAATTTTGAAACCACACTATTTACATTCTGCAAAAGAAACTATTCTCATTCAACGGTTACCTGCAATAAATAACTTAAGGAGTTTAAAAACGCAACTCATCAGTAAAGACAGTAATCTGTGAAACTTCAACGGTAACAAATTGAGCACATTATTACATTCATCTGTTGACTTTAATTGCCAATTAGGGCCAACAACGTAGCAATATAATTTATTATATTATATTTATTATCTCTCCCCAAGGATATCAGAGACTCACCTTCTCTAAACTCATCAAAATCCAGACTCAAAACCTTCTTCTTTAGAAGAGCCTTTACTTAACTGTTTCCATTCTTTACCTCTCTGGTCCTACTGTATTTAGTACCACCATCTACTGTCTCCTCTGTGTATTCTCATCATGTTTATCTTGTGGACGTTTTATTGTTTATTGTGTATTTTTAATTGTGGTTGTTGCTGTTGTCATTCTGTAAAGCGCTTTGAGAAGCCACCTTTAAAGTTGTTATATAAAATAAAGTTTATTATTATTATTAAAAATGCCAAAGTGGCCTTTTTGCATTTGCAACAAAAAGAGAACTCAGCTGAATTCCCATTTAAATTCCTTTAATAGCGGATGATAAATATATTGCACAGGAAGTACTAGAGAACATACAGTACCATGTGTTGCTGACAGGTCAATTCTGTAAGCTAGAGCTATTGATTGCAATGGCAGTTGCGTGCAGTCCCCTCCTACAGTCATAACAGCCTTGTTGTGCTGGGGGTCTCACCCTTGCTGCATGGCCGAAGGAGGATGGTATAGCCATGGCAGATAGCGGATGACAGCCTTGTTGTCACGGTGATTCCCCTTACTGATCTCCATGGCTGCCACTTGCGCTAAGCCCACTTTCAGGTTTCCACCAAACGTGTCTTCATGCAGAGGCTGACAGCAGGTTTTCATGTGACTCTGAAAGTCCAAATGCAGCAGATTTTCAAAGGGGAAATGCAGTCCTAATTTCTCAGACCTGTTATAAAGTCTCGGTAACAAAATAAATGTAGTGACGGTATTGCAAAAATGTACAAATCTGAAAATACTGTGTGGTCTCCATTTTGTCACAAACCCCTGGTCTCGCCATGGGCAAGAGCAAGAATTGCCATGATGTGATGCAGCCCTTCCTGCTCACTAGTCACTGTAGTGACTAATTTAATGTGTTTATGAGCGAATAAGTACAGGTTGTCCAGCAGGTGTTTCACTGCATAAATGATCCAAAGTAATCTGCATGACGAGTTAACAAGTAAGTTGTATTTGTCAGCAAAACTGTCTCGAAGTTGAGACCATTATTTCTATTGGATTCAAAGATACAGTATGTGTTCACAAGCCTGCTTGTTTACAATGTAATAGGGCCGCATCATGTCACTGGAAGCTTTGTTGTCTCGTTCTGAATCGCAGAACATGGCACTGCACATATCTGGAAATTTTGTCTATTTCGTGATGTATATAGGAGATTTCACACGCAAATTGGTAATACTGAACATAAATGAACAAATTCTTCTTACAGCACACAGCTTCTGTGGGAAAACAAACCTACAGTACATACACAATTAAAAGAAAGTTAATTGACAATGAATAAGCAAGCTTTCCATTTGTAAAAGGTTTACAGTACTGTACATACTGTACCTGTACAAACTTGCACTGTTCTTCGGATTTAGTAACTTACTTTTAATTTTGTCAAGGTATGCATATCTGCAATGAAGTCCAGTAATTCATTAATGTATTGCCGCATACATTCCATTGCTGCTGTAGTGCACTGAAATAAAGGCAGAATAAAATGAATTCCTTCCATTAAAACTTTTTTGTTTTTCACATCAGGCCTCTATGTGTAAGAAACTGTAGTGATGTTTGATTTTTTTTTTCTGGATTTTCTTTGTGATCATAGCACATTGCAAACAAGATAATGATTAGCCCAGAATTATCTTTTCAATTCTGAACTATATAAAAATGCTTTTTAATATGGTACTGTACGTCCAGAAGTAATACATACCCCAGGTAGGGATGAAATCATGTGCTTTTGCAGAATCGTTGATTCAGCTAATCTTGTTCCAGCATCTGAGCAAACAAACTACGAAAATGAAAAAAAAATCAGTATCTGTATCTTTCTTTTACCCTTCCAGTTCGTACGAGTGGACATTTGTTGTTTTTAGAAAATATGACGATTACTAATCTTCATGAAATGTTTTTATAAATGAGATTTTATACATATATACAACATAAGTATCTATTCATTTTTCCCACTTTTTTTCTTTTTTTTCTAAAAACTTAATTGCTGGCTGAAAACTAGTAGAAATATTGTCTGAGCACTCTTAAAAGTGAGGATAGTTTAGGAATGCACAGTTAGGAAAGCTCATCAAACTTGTTACCTGAACCAGTAGTAATAGGTTAGTGTCTGGAATAGGAGACTTGAATTTTAAAGCCTGCAAAAGTTCCAACACGACAATGCGGGACAAGTAGAACTTATCTCGCTCCTGTAGGGAAAAAAATATATGTCAGAAAATTCACACCCAATTTTAATTTAACCAAATGTTGGAAGCCTGATCATTCCTGTCTCTTAAAAAGATAAATTTTAAATTCAAGTGGCAGCTCACAGCTGGCCAAGTCCTGCCTGAATAGAGTGGGGCTGAACTGGCCACAATAATCTTGGTTGTTATTTTATAGCAGCTCAAGGGACAATAAACAAGGTGTACAAAATCTAAAAAATGACAACATTTTGAATTGAGTCTATCTAAAGTAAAAAATAAATTCTAGCTCTTTTAAGAAATTAAATTCAACTTGAAAAGTTGAATTAGCTACTCAGATGCATGTAGAAAACATGAGCTTTTCCCTCACCTTTCTTGTGTTGTTTGATAATAAAATCATTGACATACAATTAAGCTGGAATCAACAAGAACTCAAATTACACAAAGGAATAACCTTTCACAGATATCCGATATAGTGAAATGGAAAAAACAGCCAGTTCTTACAATCTCTTGTGAAGGTTAATATAGTATCAAGAACACTTTAAAAGCTGCATCCATAAGTAAATGTGACTTTGAACAGATGAAACTCAGAACACCTTAAAAGCTGCATCGATAAGTAAATGTGACTTTGAACAGATGAAACTCAGGGGCATTGTAAACATATACTGTACAAATATACTCAAAAATCCAGAATCTGTTTTTCCTTTGAGACAACACTGAAGTTCAGATATCCCTTCCTATAAAGAGCTCTTTAAAAATAATACATATATATATATTTACCAGTATATATATATACTGTATTTATTAGGTAATGCTTTCATTTGTTATTTATTTCCTCTGTTTCTGAATATGACCAGGTGCTTTGATTGCATGTATGGTATTTTTTTAACTTTTCACTGAATATTCACAAATATTCTTATGAGGCTGCTGTCAGTGACAAGTAGCTTAAATATTGTAGTGCAGTGATAAATTAAAAATATACCTTAATTACCTGTAATACTACAAAGACTGTTATTATCAATTTAACTTGCACTGTCAGAACACATCACAGGATTCCTACTTAGTGTGTATGTTCACAAACGTGGGCCACAGACAGTTGTAAAATAATACCTTAACAAATCTTACACCACATGTAACAGACTTACAATTTAGTTTTAAATAAATAAATAGAATGATTATAATCACATCCAGATCAAATTGTAAAATGCTGTTAGTACAGTCCCTTGCAAAATGTATTCAGGGTTTTTCTTGTGGTGTTCCATTTTGTGAAATTACAAAATGATTCAGACACATTTTTCAAACTCAATATTTTTAATCAAAATGTTGATGCTAAAACTGTATACTTCAAATGGTAAGATAAGTTACAATAAATGTCAACAACACCTAGAGAACATTAACAGTAATCCTGTATGTTGAAGCATTCAGATTTGCGGACTTGTGATCTTTAAAATCTTTACCAATTTTAATTGTTGTTGTTGCTATTGTCATTCTGTAAAGCACTTTAAGAATCCACCTTTAAGGTGCTACATAAAATAAAGTTACAATAAATGTCTACAACACCTAGAGAACATTAACAGAAATACTGTATGTTGAAGCATCCAGACTTGTGGACTTGTGGTCTTTACCAATTTACAGACAAAGTTGCCGATTTGTTTTGACACATTTGCTGAAGTTCTCTCAAGTTGTTTGGGGTTCACTTATAGAAAGCAGTTTTCAAAGTTTCTTGATAGGATGCAAGTCAGGACTTTGGGCCACTGGAAGAAATTCACTGTCTTGTTCTTAAGCTACTCCAGTAGTCCAAGTTGCTTTGGGTCATTTTCTTGTTCAAAGCTGGATTTTCAAGCAGGTTTTTCCCCCAATACTTTCCAGTACTTTACCCTATCTACTATACTGTATGTACCCATCATCTTGATAATCTTCCCAGCCTTGGCTGAAGAGAAGCAGTTACATACAGTAATCCTGCCACCGCCATGCTTGAGAGTAATGGTGGTATTGGCTAAGTGATGCACTATCCTGAGTTTACATCAATTGAAAGGCTTTGCAATTCCAATTTTGTTTTGTTTGGCCTCAAAGTAGTTTTGCCTGATTATTGCAGTTTCATTCACAGGTATTAGAAAACTGAAAAACATGGAAACACCAATGTAAAGTCCCATAATAGGGTGTTGGGCAATGCAGCCAGTACAGCCCAGGTGTTGGGTGTTGTGGCATACAGTAAAGTCTACCAGCATTTGGAATTCTTCTGGAGCAATTGTTCTGTGAGAGTGTCAATCAACTCATAACCAATAAATGCTTGATTGGATTCAGATCTATTGACTGACAAGACCATGACAGCAGTGACATCATCGAACCACTGAGCATCCAAATATACTCTGTGAATGGGGGCATTGTCATGCTGGAAGTCACCCCGGCTGCCAAGAAAGAATGGGTGAGGATGAGTTGAAGACAATCACTCAGTACCATTAAGTAGAGATCCTAAGGGAATGAGTGGACCCAAACCATGCTATGCCCACAATATTAAGGAATTATCATAACACTGTTGGAAATAAACACTCAAGTCTTCAGAGGTCCTCAGGTTGGCACCAGATGTAAACCAGTCTACCAAGCACGTGGTGATCCATCTGACCATGTCACTTTCTTCCACTGCTCGATAGCCCATTGCTTGTGCTATTTGTACCACTCGACTTGCAAACATTCATTGGCAGGAATGATAAGTGGTTTGTACACAGCAACCTGACTGGTATCACACTCTGTGAATTTTTCATGTGAATCGTTATTATTTCACTCAGAGGCCACTCAACTAATTGTGTGGCTCGTTAAGGTAATAGTGTGTATCTAAATTCATTTAGATTTGCCACAGCAAAGGTTTTGAATACTTACGCAGTCATGAATTTTCTATTTTTTTAGATTAATTACCATTACCTATTTACTTCTTTCTTTTTTTCATTTTTGCCTTGAAAGTGTGGAGTAGGTTGTGTACTGTACTATATATAGCAAATATTAATTGCAACTTTAAAGTGTCGTGACTGAAAGCTTAAAAGCAATGAAATGTGAAAACTGAGCCATGGTCTGAATACTTTTGCATGAAACAGTATATCAAGGCCATTTCAAAGACTGAAAACTATTGTGTATTTTACCTTTAGTGATCTTTAATTGATCTTTCTGAGCGTACACGAACTTGAAAAATGTTTTCAGGATGCCGTTGACTTTTACTCCTTTCACCGTTAAGGTTAATAAATGATTTATGTAGAACATACTGTATAAAGGAGCAAACCCTTTAAAATTGCAATGTCTTGTAAAACTTTGTTGTGCTTCATATTCATAATTAAAATCTTTTCTCAACCCAGTTTGTTTTATTTTTGCCAAAAAACATGAAACAGATCCCTGAGATAAACAGTGTATATAACTCTATAATATCTACTGTACATGTACAGTATATATATTCAGTGGCTCATTTTTTACAGGAACACCATTGAGAAGTAACAGAGATTTTTTTACAAAAAAGTAAAGGAAGAAAGTGGATCCACTATACTTTTATGATATTTGTGTATGTAATGTAACCCAAACTCTAATATTCTCATCACAGTACCCTGGTAGCGTTATATAAACCAATCCATTAACATCTTCGTACAGGTTGTATTTGGGCTATACATCTTCTGTAGGCACTCAAAAATATGTAAATCAATATGCACTGATTAGGCACTTCATCAAGAAGATGCTTCAGCCTTTCTCAAAGATTTGACTTGTGGCAAGGCAATATTTCTTAATGAAAAATGAAAGTGTGTTATTACCTTGTTGAAGGCACGATAGCACAATCCGCAGAGCTCCACAAGGTAGGAGAGGCTGAAGACCGCATACTGAATGACAAAGCTCAGTAATTTGGAAAATGGTTCTAGCAGGCTCTGAAATAAAAGAATAATCCTACTCTTTACTTCAGGTTATAATTTTTTTTACCCACACTCTTGTGCAGTTAGGTATTAAAGGATGTGGTTGTACATCAAGAGGCTATTCCTACATTCTGTATAGTATAGTGTAAGCATAACAGTCTTCATATTGATTAATTATTTTTTTAGTGAATGAAGATTGCTTTGCAAACTATATTCCAATACCTTCCCTTAATTAACTAGAAAACTTAACTTGAATTACTTAAATTAGACCTGATCAAAAATAAGTACTAACTTAAACTACTGTTCTCCTTCTTGTTGTGATCCAAAATTAAAATTTATAGTCCCCTTTTTCTGTAAATAAATTGGTTTCTTATGCACCCAGCATGGTTAAGCGTGATTGTGTTTTGGATATAAAAAGAGCTGTCACAAAAATCTGTACTGTGAAGCATCAATTTAAAAAGAAGAACAGAGTAAAGGTCTATAATAAGAACAGGCCACTCAATCAATTGAACTGAACTATAAATGCTATTTTACTTTTTTTTTAGGTGTCAGTCCTTGCTAACAAAGTACTTTGCTTTAAGCAAATTCCTTTTCAGAAATATATCAAACACAGCTCCATTCTATTCTTAGTTTGTTAAGTAAATGGTTTTCCCTCCTATCACTCCAATTAAAAAGCCTAAAATGCCACAAATTAGTAATGTGCAGTGATGACTCGGGTATGAATTTCCCTTCACCCCAACACAACTCCTGTATCAGCTCTTTGACTCATTCCCCTTAGTGGATAAGGGAAACCCAGTCATCTCATATTCTCTGTCATTCCACCAAAATGATTGTATCTCAGATTGCATACCCACAAAACCACTCAATACTGGGATTCAGGAAAGATATTGAGTTAAGCTAAATTTTTGTATTGTTTTTATTGTTATATACTACACACATGGTGCCTTACCCTTGTTGAATTTGTGGTTGGTATCTTCAGCAAGCAAATAATAATCCTTAAACTGGAATCCAAGGGGCACTGATTGAAGAGTGAAAAAGATTGCTTTATTAAAAATTAAAAAATGTTTTGGCTGCACTAGAGATTGGCACACATTTCAGAATATACAGCACATCAAATTTAAAAACACCAACATGGAAGACACATGCAGCATTGCCTGGGAAACAATTGTTAACAGATTCATATAATTATTCTGCAAGATTCTTTTGGGAATATTTTTCATTTGTGAAAACAGTTTTTCAAGAATCAATTTTGATAGACTCAGAAAGGGCCAGGAAATTAAATATAAGCCAAAGAGACCCGTTTTGCCATTGTAATCTTTATTGAAGTGTCCAAAACAAAGTAAAAGAGCTAGCATTTATACAAAATCCAAGTGTCGGTATATTCTGTACAATATACTGTACAGTAAAACTAGCAGGCTGTTCAACCCTTGTTGCTTAATCTTCAATCAGACTTTAAGAGGACTCAGCAATCCATAGCCAATATTAATCGAAACTAGTAATACAGTATTAAAGTCAGCAGGTTCTCCCTGACTTTACTAATACAACCTTGTTCATATGGTCCCATCTCCTGTCCATACCAGTTATGTGGTTGAACTTAGACCATAATAATTGTCAATAATAATAATATTTATTATAATTGTCAATAACAATAATAATTGTCTATGATGTCTAATACATTATAATATGTATAGTAAGAACGCAGACTAAAGAGAAAATTTCCTTCACAAGAAGGCTTGCCCGTGGATTGATAACGAACATCTTTTATGAGCACTTAAACAGTAGATTAATCTTGAAAGAAAAAAAAGAAAAACAGGAAAGGAATACCTTTAGTGGTAAAACAGAGGGCAGTTTAGTCAAAAAGGTGTGGAACTGGTTACAGATGGTTGTCCACAGATTGCTGGGGGAGTCCATTGGAAGGGCCTCCATGAAAGTGGCAATGTTCTCGAGGCAGTGCAGCATGGCGCCCCCTGCTGGCAAGGTCTTCTTGTTGTTTAAACCCTGAAAACCACACGGGAGGATCAGAGGAAAGACTCTCTAGTCATCTTGGTAGAAAAAATTACCTTAGTAGGCAATAAAGGTTGTGTTTGGCAAATCACAGTGTGTGTCTGTTAACAAAGAAATAAAAAGGTCCTGTTAGGCTTAAGAATATGCTAGGTCAATTAATTATTACATGTAAGATGACAGGATATTTGGACTAATAATTTTATTCCTTTAAACCTTCTTCTGTACTGTTTCAAAATATGCTCCATATTCACAGTGATTACTTCATAAAAATGAAATCTTGATGCCAATTGATATTACCATGTCAATTCTCTCACAATTCAAATTATGGTTTTATCTTATTTTACAAATACTTGATGCCCATGGGTTTCACAAACATATGGAGGGAATATCATCTTATACAATGGCCCCATCTGCTGGATGTAATGGGTATGCATCTTGGTAGGATATGAAATAATTCAAATCTGTATGCAATACTTCATAAGAATCAAATATCTTTCAGATTAAACATTTTGCATTTGATGTTTTTCAGGTACATCTTCTGTGTATTCAATTTGAGTCTTTTTTGTAATTAACAGACTTTTCTCATTATAATAAAGTAGAGATAGTGAAGTATACTGTATCTAGTAACATAGTGATCTTGTACTCATTTTAATTACTGTTATATTAGCGATTTAAGGATGCAATAGTAATAGACTTGAACTTGAAAGAAAGACTAGAAGCCTGTTATAATAGTATAAAACTCATATTCCAGCTCTGAAACTTAAAGATCTAATTTCTGAAGCAATAATTTACTCTAATTTAATCTGATTAAAAAGGGTTCAAAATACTTTGCGGTGATTCAGATAATACCCCACAATTAATTAGTTTACGTACTGCATTAACCAATTTTATAGGACTAAACAGGACAAAGACCTGGTCTTAAAGGTGGGATCAGAAAACTCTTTGGGAAATTAAACTATCTTACTAAAGAACGAGACAGTCAGAACTCTCCATGTGCAGCAAAGTCTAATTGTTGCTACAAGGATTGAGTGATGAAATAGTGATGAATGTGATTTTAAAGAGCTGTACTTTATACAGGGGCAGGAATCACATCATTAGAACTCTCATGTGTGTCTTTGAGTCTATGCTAAAAGAGCTAAGCAGTCAAGGGATAAATTATGACGAATTCATTTCACTTCAATTCATTTTAATTGTTAAAATCTGAATATATACAACATAAATTATAAAGCAAAAGGGTGACTGTCCACTCTTCTAACTATGAAGAATTAAAGGCTTAACAGTGCAGTCGCCAATCCAAAGCATTAGATTGGAGTGTACAGTTTCAGTGAGAAATCAAAACTTACTTCTAACAGCTGGTTCAAAGCAGCAACAGAGCTGAGCTCATTGAAATCCATCAGGGAAGAAGCCAGTGTTCTTAGAAAGCTTCCGTCTGCAACAACAAAACAACCAAAAACAGAGCAAGACCACTTTAACAGGGCAGATGCAAGGAATTTACTCTTTTTGGCGAGCGTCCCTGTTTAGCTTACCCAAACTCTTACCTTTAATATTGCTTTGGAAGAGCTGAGGGAGAATGCCATTAGGAGCCAGCTGATGAAACACACAGCGCAAAAACTGCTTGGCCACGCCGGCCGCGTTGCCTGGGATCATCATGCTGGGAGTCCAAGGAAGATAAAAAAATGAAGTATACCACAAATACTGTACACAATTTTAGCTTATTCATGTTAAGCCAGTTTATGATTGCTTAAAAACTGAACATTGTTAAAAGCTGAAATAGCAAGTTAAAAGACAATAGAAGGCATCACATTATAAAAGAAAGAACAGTTAAGGAAGATATAGTTTATTCATTAGTACTAATGTACTAATTTCATGGTACCAAAAATATTAGCACACACAGTAAGCAAAAAAACCCAACAAATAAAATAAAAGCAGGAGTGAGATACAAAATCTTAAATTATATTTGAATTAAATTTCAAAAATTCAAAAATCCCATACGATACCTCTCAGCTTGGCCAGAAAGATTTGTGCTTGAAGCTAACCTGCAAAATATTTAAATGCAGTGATAAGCAATAAAACCATCTTCTTCCACATGAGTGATTTGAATTCAAGTCGAATTCACTACAACTACCTACTGTATGCTGCTTTTTAAATGTGATAAATTGATCACTTTTTTAAATACGTAATTTAGCACAAAGACATCATCGTATCAATGATTTATGAAGGACTGTTTTATTGTTTTTAATTTCATTGTTTTAAAACCATCAGTTAAATATTAACAATATGTCCTAATCTCCCCCAGTCCATTATTTCAAGTCAGTTCAAGCTTTAGTTCAACAAAATGACAAAGGGCAGACAAACATCACCACCAAAGACTACAGTACATTAGCATTTTAGGATGTAAGAAAATGATTTTATTTTGTTCTGAGAGTGAGATTGCAGAGCGGATGAAATACTTCCTGTCAATTACTGTTATGCTGGTGGACACAGAGGCATCTACCAGATGGGAGCATGTAAGATTCACAGTGGAGGGGGTGTGCCACATACTCCATAATCCTTTTAGCCTTCTTTACCTTTGGTTATGTATTATTGCTATTATAGACAGTTTTACAAATTTATCAGAATCTACAGAGAAATAAATTTCACTCTTCTTAGTTTTCTGATGGATTTTAATTTGCTGGTCACATTAACAAATTATGTAAACTTAGGATATATCCAATGTGGTGTTCAATTTTAGCACTGAGCCTAAAAAATTCAATGATAGCTGTGACGTGCAGTTAACAAAGTGACCCATGTTACAGTACAAGCAGTAGGCTGGAGTTTTTTATGTTTGTTTCATTCAAAATAGGACCGCTGTACCTTCCTACAGACTGCATTATGTCAAGTAGCAGGGGAGCCGCAAGGTCTGGGCTCAGGTGAATGAACATGGAGAGAACCACAACAGCCAAACCCAGGGTCTCCTCGTCATACTCTTCTAAGACTGCTCCACAGTCATGGCACCTGTGCACCACAGGACAGTGTTAGTGAGATTGCAGTGTGACAGTGTCAGTCATCATCACCCATAACCACTGAAGCTGAAGTGGTGTTTCAGCTTCAACGCTCATGTTGGCATCATCAAACGCTGAGATAAGCATTATTTTTCATACTCTAACTGCCCTTTCCTTGCCCATTCAGAAACTAATGGGCACAATTTGCACAAACAGGGAAAACCTGGCTCTGTATTTTTTATCTTTCTTTTATTTTGGTTCTGCCACATGTTTTGGCTGGGAAACACAGCAATGAATCTTAAATTAAACATAGTAAAAAAAGTTCCAGGAAACATAGAGAAAGTGATGGTGCTTAAATCCAACACCCATTATCAAAGTATGATTTAGGCCCACTGGGCCAAACACATGAGACATTGCTTTTATGATGATTACTTTAAGTTATGAATAAGATTAGTTTTACCTGCAAATACACAAATAAGTACAAAGTGCTTTGTGGTTCTTTTTTGCTCAGCAAAGGTACCCAATCCATTATTGGTAGAAAAACTTTGGAATTAAAAATACAGTAGTTCCAACACTACATTGGGTTAGGGTATAACCATTTGAATTAAATTGTTGAATACAGGTAAACAAGAAATTATCATACTTTGATTAAAGCTAATGTTCTTGGTGATCTGAGAGGAACCACACCTATCTGTCATTGTGGTTGGCTGATCGTCAGTGAACTCCTCAGGCGCCGGTACAAACATGCTGACAGTGCTTGGCGCTGACAACAAGCTGCACTTGGTAGCTCCTGTAAGACGAGAATTTACAATAGTCAGGGTAGACAGCTGTCAGAATACATGCTATAAATAATATTGCTTTAATTTGTACATCTATATTTCAGAGTGATGTCTCAGTGTGGTACTGTATATACAGATTAAGATAAATGTGGACCCTGGCTTTTAAATGCTTCTCAATCTTTTCTGCACTGCACTCTCTTTAGTTTTTTTTTTACTATTACAACAAAATTCTGACTTAATTTCTTTAATGGTGACTTAGTATTTGTAAATGGCTACATTTGCAGCCTCATCTATTTAAAAAAGATGTATAGTCATTCACTTTACTGTATAGTCATTTCATTTTGCAGAAATGTAAAATGTCATCTTTTCTTATGAACATTTCTTTTTTTTGGATACAGATATTTAAAAGTTTTTTAAGTGCTATTATAGTCAGTAATTGAATTCAGGGTACATTGCAAAAAATCGATTTATTCTTTTTTTATTAATTTTCTTTTAGTTTTCTTTCCCTTTTTATCTATACCTACAACGAGTATGCTCAACTTTTAGGGAACCAATAAGTACAGTAAAATTAAATTCTTTAAAATAAATATTATGTCAGAACATGGGTTAAGGTTATAGGGGGTGTCTGCTATGAGCTTAGGATCTGGCATAATCTCTACATACTATATCTTTTCTCCATTTTATGTTTTAAAAAAGGAAAAAAAGGCTAACCAGAGTTAATTAGAACTGTTCTGAGTTAGTTAAGCACAACTGCTGTTAATGGATGGTTTGTGCTCAGGGTATACAGTATGAGGGTGTGGTGGAGGCAGACTGGAGCCGGCTATTTGTTTTTAGATCAGCGCTTTGTGCTGGAAATTAGGTGTTTTTGACTTTGACCTTTTTTTGAGAAAGACCTCCCATTTTGTACCAAAACACTAGAGGACAGGACAGGAAGAGCCAAGCTGTTGTGACCAACAAACCCCAAGGTGTCACACTATGCAGTATACTGCATAACCTTTAACATGCAATACCATGCCTTGGAAATGAATACAATTAATACAATCTTAAAACTGTCACAACATCATATAGCAACAAGGCCTAAGAAACCTCAAACCGATTTCCACAGATCCCGACTGCATATCTCTTTTCTTCTGATTGTGCAACTAAACACTAGTTTATAATTAGTAGTTCAATGAAGTTATTTATGTATACCTTTATATTTGATGAAAGCTCCAATAAAGATATTAGGATGTAGGTATAAAACATAGTAATATAAATGTAAAACAATATTTAAAAAAAAACAGATCTCAGTTTCCTTGTTATTCTGTGCATTATTTTACGGTATATCTGGATATAAATGATTATATTTGATGGGAATGTCTAGCCAGAAAAGTGATTTAATTGTTCTTCTCTGTTTCAACATGTCTTTTACTTGCCAGGACTCAATCCGATACTTAGCCATGAATTCTGTGGAAAGAGCTATTTTTCACTTAAAACTGGCCTGGTACCTGTACTAACCAAGAAAATAATGCACATGCAGTATGTATTTAGGAGCCCAATAGATCCTGAATGTACATTTTAACTGAACAGAATTATTTAATAAATTAATAATTAGACTCTAGGAAACACTTACCTGTTTCCCAAGTGCTGATATTGTGTGGAGCGCTCGACTGATGCTCCAGCTGTCTCTTCATTAGTTGGCTCATTGTCAGCGTACCCAGGGAGCCACGCTTCATTTGCCTGTATTGTGCTGGAGATGAAACGTCTAACATATAAACATATATTGAAAAAGCGTTCACATTAGCTGAGAAAGTAATCCATTCCTGAGGTTCCCATTGTCACACAAGAGCCTCCAGCCATCCCTGTGCCTGGTGGGGTCAATTCAACTTGTTAAATAGTGCATTCTAATGCCCAAGAATGGAAGGTTTGTCAGTTTGTTGGAACTGGCACCAGGACACCCTTGAAAACAAGATGTTGCATCTCAGGGAAAGGTTCCTGGTAAACATATTGGGAACTAATGGCAAAGGCAACTGCCCTTGCATTGTGCCTACTAAGCCATTTCTGAAAGAATGCTTGTAATGATTAAGAAACAGAATCTGAATAATGCCCTAGCAGTTCTATGTATGCCGGACCTGTGGTTATCTGTATGACTGTGTATATATACTGCAAACCTGACAAGTTATTCAGTGTCTTCTTTCTGTGGGCTATTTTGTGATATAAAATGGAAATCAGACAGACAACTCTTAAGCTTAGTTCAACACAAATTTTCCATTTCATTTTGGAGCACCAGACTAATTCTTTAATTCTTTAGTCTTATTTTGGAAATCTATCCCCAGCTCCCCTTCCACACACACAAAAGGTGCAGTAACTTTTATAGGATTAATCACTGTACATGAGAACTACTAATACGATACCGTGAAACAGAATGTGTTATATTCAACTCTGATACATGGAGCATTTGTAACTTTTTAAACTCCATTCCTACTAATAGCTTAGTTCACGATAATAAAAAAGACTATGATGTGTATTGGACATTTTGATCACAAGGTACAGTAAATGCCACTACATGTTATGTACAGAATCCGATTACATGCAAATATAAAAGTGTAAAGGAAATAAACAAATTTGAATATACACATTTGTTATTGAGCATTCAAATTTGTATTCAGATATGAACTAAAAAGATTTTTTTTCCAGGTATATAATTTTCAAATGGATTATTTTTCTTTTAAGTACAACTTTTGATTATTACCTAATTTTATCAATCAAAATAACCTGCATATGTGAACGGGCTCCTATCTGTAACACAGACAGTTCAATATCATAGCTTTTACTATTGTATGTTTTAAAAGTCCATCCACACATTAGCAGTAACCACTAAATCCATAGAGTGGTGCAGTGAGCCAAAGCTTAACTTGGGAAAGGGCCCTAGGCAGGACTACAGCCTGGACAAGATGCCATCTTTGTGAACCTGCCATGGTGCACATCAATCCCAAGACTTGTCGGATGAATATGAACTTGCAGGGGTGTTAGAAAGAGAGGTGCATCTCCTGCAATTGGTGCTTACTCTCCTGCAGGTCTCTGTGGAGCTTCCAGCTTTCATGGGTTTAATGATAATAACAGTTGTGACTGGTGGGTGGGTCAGAGGAACGTCTAAGAGTGTTACGGTAAACTGAGCAGATTAACAATTTGCAATTATATGTTGGGAGGTCTATAAAATAGGAAAATAATAAGTTGCTGACTTAACAGAATGTAGAACCATCAACCCATAATATTTAATTTCGATTCCAAGATGCTATTGAGAAATCACAAGAGAATATAAATCCAAAGAAATCACTGAGAATGACCTTCTGTTGTACACACTCAATGGCCTTCATACGAGTTTAGGTTTGGAATTTAAAAGCAATGGATCTTCTTATAAATCCCATATATACAGTAAAGACATTATATGGCATATGAACACACAGAAGTTTATGAACATATTAAACATTGCCATAAAATGTAAGAAAGACCGTGACCATCACAAGTAGCTTTTTCAAGACTGAAACCCAGATTGAATCAAAGGCTGTATTCAACTACACAAAAGAAAGTCTAAACTTTAGGGAGGATATTTGTACTACTGTATCTTTGTAATGGTTTGATTGAATAGTGTGTTCATTTATAGAGGTGAAGAGAAAAGGACTACTCCAATTAAGTTAAGCAAGAATCTTTTCATTGCTCAAGAACGAATTCTTAATTTTACTAATCATATACTGTATGCTAAGAGGAACACAGTATACCTAGTTGAACATTTATTTAAACCTCATTATGATTTCCATTCTCAAAATTTAATTGAGGAACTTTAGAAATGCAACATATATTTTGATTATGTGATACTAACAAACATGAGAAAGGTAAAATTAGAGCATTTAAAAATATAAATGTAGAACATGTTAGCACTTTTTGTAGTATCTGTTTGATTAAAAAATGTAGCCCAACTGTTTTTTGAAACATTAGTTAAGATAGTCTTCCCAGGCTCCATGCAGCCCTTCGTGTTGTATAGTATTTGCTCATCTTTTTTTTTTTGGTACCATCTGCAAATTTTAAGGAAGGAAGAAAGGAAAGAATCTACATCATGGACATAAATTGGAAGAACAGTAGTCCCAATGCAGATACCTGAGTTATCCTACACTGCAATTTGAAATCACCTCAAATTGAGCATTCCCTACTTACTTGGATTCTCTTCTACCCGTTAACCAATTCAAAATTCAAATACATGCATTACCTACCACCTGCAATTTCAGAAATAATCTTCTATGAGGAAGATTATCTAAAGCTTTTTGAAAATCTGAATATATAGTATCATATGCTCTGTTTATATCCATACTGTGGTAGCTTGTTTAAAGACCACTAGCATGTTAGTTCAGATTTACTGCTGTATTCCTAAATCCATATTGACTATACCCTAGAATCCAAAACAAATAATTCTCTAGCTAAGTTGTTTATTTTTATTTTTCATTATTTTTTATTTTATTATTTTTTCAATAACCTCGCATGTGATAGAATTGGAATGCAATAGAAAATGCCTTGGCCTTTAACTTTTTGTATTTGTCAGCCTTGATATGGATGGTCACTACATTAGCAACAATGGTTTTACAAATGTCTTGTATCTCTTCTGTGCTAAATCTATATACCACTTTGTCTTTCCTCTGACTATTCTGAATTCTGAAGATGTCTTGATTGATGAGCACAACATAGTCATTGTACTGTATAACAAATTACCAATTTCAATTTCCCATTTTTGCTGTGTTCTAAGGACAGGGAGTCTGACAACACTTGCGTGATCAAAAATATGTGCTTGTAATATTACACATTTACAACAATAGGTACTTGTGAGGAACACACTGGTTCGGTGGTTTGAATAAGACTGCAGAGCTCATTGAAAGAAAGAATGCTTGCAGGGACGTCATAACATGCAGTCACGAGGGCATGTGGGATCTGTCTGTCCACCATCACCAGACACCGGGAGTGTTGCCAGCTGACATTGACACATTATAATGTTATGTTTTTTTAAGTTATTTTTAATGAATGAAATTGGAAAGTATCCTTTTGTCACACAAAATAGTTCCAGTCACACATATCCTATGTGTAACATATGCATAGGCCGGTACAATTTACTTTACCAAGACAAGGATGTTTAGAGTTTCTGGAACCTTCCATGATGTTAGGCCAGGATTGGGATGAGTCAGATACAGTAAGTTAGAGACCCTGGTCTTCTCTTGACATTGTACAATTGGTATTTTCATATTGCACACTGCAGTTTTCATCATATACCTTTGTTGTTGGTTTTTTTCCCACACAGCATTTTCCTGTTAAACATTTATGCTACAATCCAACATTTTTGATGCATTAATAATTGTCAAATTATGCTGCCTGCATTTTGTTCATTTGTTTCTAGCTCTGTGCTGTTCTCTCCCTTTCAACATTTCATTGTAAATGCAATTCATTTCCCTAATGCAATGCCTGTATCCATAATGCCTATATATTTGCCAATATCTAAGTTAATGAACCTCTGCTTTACCCTTGGCTTATACCAATCATATACCCCCAGTGTATTTACTCAGAAGAATCCAATATATTGTAAAAACTGTAAGATTTCACAAAAATATATACAGTATGCATTAAGGAAGCCACTACTTATGTACAAGTGCTAAGACTGTAGAACTTATAAAGAGCATTCAGTAGAAAGCAAGAAGACATTGTTTCGATTTTCTAAAAAATCAACTAGGCCAGACCTACTTCTATAAGTGCAAATTAAGCCTCTAGTGAAAATGATATAAAACTATGCTTTTAGCTGAAATGTGCATAGCGTCTCTTTAAAGAAGAAATAAGCATTCAGATCCTACTTGATATTGAAGAGTGGCTGCTTGTTTCTGGGATTACAGCTTCGAGAGTTGGAGCCGACGCAGATTCTCGTGGCATTTCCAGAGTTGAGAGACCTTTCTGATCTGTAAAGCAATTTTGGTGAGTGACGGGTACATTAGCAAAGCTCATTACCTCACAGGTGGGGGCAGGCTAAAGTTAATATCGCAGACGGCACCAAATGATCAATTTGTCACAGTTCATTAAAAAATGTTGCACTTTATAGCTTTTTTGAAGCAGTTACAGTATGTCTAGGCCTCCCTTTTAATTGCTTTTTTTAAGGATAAAGAGATCTGAGTAAAAAGATTGCTTTGGAGATGGAGCATTTCAGCAAAGAGCATGCTAAGCCCCAGATAAGATCCTATTTGTTTTTCTAAATGCTGATGTGTATTAGGTTCCAACATGGTAAGCACTCATACTGTAAATATCCACATTTTTCGCATCCACTTAAATCTGTTTTTCTGATTTTTCATAAAGCAATGTGCTTTTAAATAAACAGTACATTTGGTAGTAGCTTTAAGGTATGTTTTCACATAAACTGTTTAAAGAATTTTTAATGTGCATTTACTGTAGGTACAGAGTGCATTTAGTCCTGTTTAATATAAATATCAAATAATAATTTTTAGTTGTTGGGAGTTTTGCTAAACTCACAAATTTATAGCATAAGTGGCCATAACATGTTTTTTGTACAGCGGCTTGGTTTGTTATCTGGCCATCACAGTTAATAAACTCAATGAACTGAGAAGAACACATAACACAATTAAAACGACTGACATAATCACTCTCCTAGGATAAGCTAGCAGTGTGCAGAGACCACACAATTTTAAATATTAGATAGAAAAAGAAATACATATATTTGTAGGTGCTGTGAAAGTCAATAAGAGATAACAGTTGCACCCTGGACAGAGCTAACTGCAAAGTACAAATCTTAAAAAAAAAAATCACAATATCACAAGAAATGAAAATGCACAAACTAATTTCCTAAAATCGAAAAGATGTGTGAAACACAACATATTAAATATATAAAGGTCTGTCACTTAAGTTTGACAGCTTTACTTAAAAGAAATCCTTAATGGTTTTGTTTGCAAGACTTACTCTATCTACTGTATTTGCCAGACCAATTAACAAGCACACATTGCGCTGGGTCTGCCTCATGGTTGTCATTCCAACTAGTCCAGTCTCTTTTTGAAACACATCTTTGTCTCACAGTGCAAAATGATAGAATATCATTATCTTGCTATCAGAGTCACATTTCTGCATTCCTGCTGCCTCATTCTGTTACTAAATCAGCTTTCTACACTTCATTAGAGGACAAGTAGGTCCATACTGAGCATAAGGAGCTTGTTCAGCAGTGAGCCTGAATTGTGGCTTTATCCATTTGCTGTGAATAACACTTAGGTAGTGGAATATTCCTCTTTCTCTTGATATGACCATAGTTCTGTGAAGGCCACTGCCAACTTTTCTAGCAAAAGCACTACAAACATAATGTACATACAAATCATAATACAGAGAAAGAAATAACAGTATACAGTATAAGCTTGTTAATGGTTATATTTATTCCACGTTTGTGTGAATGGAATACTAGTAGTGACACTATTCCATTGCTACGATGTTAAAAAAACCTGTAAACAGCAAGACATTTTCCTTGCTGTGCTGAAGACAAAATACCAAATGGAAAAATGTTTAATGGTGCACAGTGTGTTACAGTTGCAAATAATCTATAATGTTGTACGAGTATGATATTCATCAGATAAATTGTAGAAAACAGAACTCTTCATTGATGTATTGTGTCTCTCACCCTTTCTTCTTCATCCATTGGTCTTTCATTAAAATATGTAATTTTTCAGATAGCTATAGAACATCAGATGAAATATGAGATGCAACATCTCCATTTTTAGAGGTGTCCTTCTTTTCGTGATTACTACTAAAAGTGCCATAAAAACCAAGAACCACAAAGTCCATCAGCAGAATTTTGCACCCGCGTTCCTCTCTAAGCAGCCCTTCTTTCACAATCTCCACACCTGCAGTTCTTACCTGACTCTCCCTGTTGATCTCCCAGCTTGTCCAGAATGTTGAAAGAGATGTCAAGGTATTCCCTCTGGATGGCACTGACAGCGATTTTCCTCTGTTTCCGCTGTCGGGGCACAATCTGTATTTTAAATTCCGTCTCCTCATTCTCATCTTCAGGTTTAGGGTCACTTGTCCTCTCACAGTCTGACTCATCCTCATGTGAGGTTAGGACCTCTGTCTCATCAGGAATATTCAGAAAGACTGTTTTGGAAGAAGGGCTAATGATACTTCCTCCACCAAGTTTCATTTCTTCGAGGTGAATCTCGCAAGTGTCATCCAGAGAAGTCTCAGGGACGGCTGGAGTCTTCTTGAGCAGGTCTCTCTTTTGTTTTAAGGTCATGGGGCTCTCTGGGGACATGTCTTTGACCCCTTCAGGTTGGATGAGATCCCTGCAGTCAAGCACAGCCAGGGGAGGAGTTATGGAGGTTTTCATATCAGTGGGGTATACTGGGCTGTCCTTGACCTCCTTGGCTTTGAGTTCTTTGGAGCAGTCCTCCACACTTACCTGAACAACGGGGCTGAAGCTCATAGTATTAGTGGTGGAAGGAGACATGGGGAGTTTCCCCTTGGGTCTGACTTCTGAAGGATTCTGCATGTCGAATTCTTCATCACTTTCCACTATCCGCAGAGGAGGCAAGTGCTCAAAGACGAGGGAATCACTATCAGAGGTAGAAAGGATGGAGTGCTTCTCAGGGACTGATGCAGAATCTGAGGAGAGGTCTATGAGGTCTGTGTCCTCTTTTAGTGGCCCCACTGGAGAGTCGGGCTTGTCCTCAAATGTCTCCATGCAGCTCAGCCTGACCTCAGGAATAACCGGTCTCTTCTCTGGCAGACCGTCCCTTGGGACCTGTCTCTCAGGGGGTTCACTTGCTTCATTTTTGCTAGATGCCTCATTGCAGGTCCTGTTGTAGTGTTCAACACGCTGGGTGTTGCAAGCCGAAGAGGGAACACCATGCTTGTCCATATCACAACGGTCAATGCAGGATTTTCTCCGGTGCTCATCAAGATTGAAGAGAATAGAATCTGCATTCCCAATATCAAGGGACTTCTGTTTCATGGCTTGGAGTCTCTTCTTCTTGATGCTTTCCTCCCTCACACAACGCAATATACTGTCCTGCAGTGCACTAGCTTCTCTGTATTCAGACAGTTCAATTTCACCTAACAAAGAGAGACGTATGTTTGTGGCGATGTACACAAATGAGTTTAAATTAGTTTACAATTGTAAAAAAGTCATATCTACACATATCTCCCAGAAATATACATTTCCTCCACTCTACTTAAGCCATATGGCTTTTGAAAGCTTTACAATGTCTTTTCTGTCAAATTAGTGCACAGAAATTGTGCCATTAAGAACCAAGTTGGTTTACTTTGAACAAGATGGATTCTAGTATTGAAAGAATGTGATCCCAACAATGCATTCACTAATCATTGTTTTCTTCACAGTTTCTAGTTTTCACAGCTTCACAGTGTTTTACTAATTGTTTGTTACTATAACTTCATGACTTAATGATTATACTATTGCTTACACTTTCTTATACTGTACATCTATTATACATTATCTGATACAACCTGATCAAAAAGCACAATTTATGGTAAATGCAATGACATACTGTCTGGTGCAAATGGCAGTACTAAAAGATTGTGTAAAGTATTTTTTTTGTCCCAAATAAAACTGTCCACAGTCTAAAAACAATTACTTAAATAACTCATGAATAAAATGGAGTCATCTGTGTCAATTCAAAGATAATAGATAATGTAGATAATGCACAGGAATATATTGTATCACATAAAATATTAAAGAACATGGTATTTTCCATTAAACCATCTATTTCCATTTGTGATACACTCAAAACTGAAGAATGGTTGTCTTTTATCTATCCATCAACCATGCCATAACTCCCTTAAGAACAATACTGTATGTTCATAATGTTATTTTAATATCCATTAATTAATTGCTTTTTACATTTGGAAATACAGAAATCATGAGCTAGATTTCAGACAGAAATTGTATATTTTTTTCCCTTTTCCCACGCACTAAAACTTTGTCTTACACCTCTGATTATGAAACTGGTCCAAATAAATTATCAAGAAAGTTTAATGTGATTATTAAAAGAGTCTGTTCCTACTTTTTTGAGCATTCATTTCCACAGGTTGGTATTTCACAGACTTGCTTCCTCCAATTCTCTTGAGCCTTGCAAAGAAGGTTTGTGATTCCTTGTTACAGGCACCAGTTGGGGTATCGTGTATGTCAGATTCATCAAACACGCTGTCCTCTTCTGTAAAAGGAACAAAGACTAGGCTTAACAGCAACTTTCTGCAATGTGCTGTCACCACACACTCTAGAGCATGTCTTTACGAGGTGGAAGAAAACCAGAGCAGAAGGAGGCAGCCCATGTGGACACACTAAAGACTCTCAAGGCAGACTTGAAACCAGAACCCAAGAGCTGTGACACAGCAGTACTAAGTCACTGTGGTACTGTGCTGCCCTTTTCTTCTATGAGAACTTTGGTCATGATGGTGGTGATAGGATGTTCAAACAAGCTATTAAAATTCACATAACTTCAAATAAATGTCATAACTGTCAACTCTTGGTCACACGATTTCACATGGATTCTGTGACTCATAATAATACAGTATAATGAAACATTTGTTTTTTTGTCCTCTGCTATGATTTCTTTGCAATGTGCTTCTTTTCAATGTGCCTCAGTCCTGCATAGGAACATTCAAACTTCAACCGTTTCTCCACAAATCATTTCATCTTTTAAATTTCAAGATAATGTTTCGTGTTGGGTCTTTTGTATACTATCAATAGTGACCTATCTGTACAGTATGTTTCCAAATGTACTTTCATCCATACAATAATATTCTGCAATATCCAGTATCACAAGGGAGCCAGAGCCTATTGTGGCAAGCAATGGGCACAAGGTAGGATATACCCTGGAGGGAATGCCAGTCCATCACAGGGAAGACACACAGATACAAACATAAATACACACACTCACACCAGGGCCAATTTTCCCATAAATTAACTAACTTACTAGTAAGTCTTTGCACTGTGGGAGGAACATTCAAACTCCACACACAAAGTGCACCCCAGGATGAACCCAGAGGACATTCACTGCAAAGCAACAATGGTAACTACTGCACCAGTGTGCCACCCATGTACTTTAATACTTTATTGATCTATTGTAATAAATCACTTTTCTACAGTTGTAGGCCTTTAGCCTTGACTTTCTTTCTTTTGCCCTGTCTAGTTCTGCCTCAGCTGGTTATGCAAAGCTGTCACTATTCATTGGATTACCTTTCTCTTTCTCACTGTATCGGCTGATGTTGCTGTTATCGCTGTAGAGAGGACCAGCAGTGGCGTGGGGCTTACAGCTGTGATACTGCGCATTCAGGGTGTTGATTGTTATATGGATCAGATGAAGCACTATTTTACTGACGTCCATGTCTCTGTAAGGGTACTGCCATTGAGAAGTAAAAAGACAGAATGAAAACATTTTATTACATTGAGAAAATCAATGACCGCCTTTTATGTGAGGCAAAGAGACCAACCAGGGCAAAAGTGCGGGAATTTTGACTGATCAAACTAATTGGATCATGAGAAACAATTTTTTAATAAAAACAACTGCAATATTTGCACAGGCCTTAATGACTATCTCCTTTTATGAATGCTGTTGGAAAGACTTCACTTCTTACCATCTTGTCAGGTTCTGGTGCTTAAAATAAAGGCTGCAGACACACTATCTCTCCAAAGCTAGATAGATACCTCACTTTGATCTTTAACTTCTTTTAGTTTCCCAGCACTCAAACTATACTCCTGAAGTATTATTGGTTTGGTTTTGTCTGATACTGACAATGTGTTATACTGTGTAATCTTCAGGTTCTTACTTATAGCCAGCAGCTAAATCACCCCGCAACTCACATATGGCAATACACAGAAGCTAAACAGATGTGAACCTGGATGGGAAACTTTCTGGGAAAAAGCTAAGGTTGCTGCTGGAAGACGTGTTAGTGGACAAGCAGGGGCTGTGTGGGTCCAAATGGCCCATCCTAGTCTAAAACACTCTATACCATAAAAAAGGTGTCATCCTTTGAATGTAAAACTGAGATGTAAACCGAGGTCCAAACTCTCTGTGGTCATTATGTTTCTCAAAAAGAATAGGGTTGTTAACCCGCTGTACCTATCATTACCTATCATGACCTAATAATACCTGTCTATGAACTGGCTTTATTACTCCATTCTCCTCCCCACTGATAGCTAATGTGTTGTGAATGTAGCAGAGTCCCCATTGACAGTAAAGCATTTGGCGTGAACTGTTCACTTAATCTCGATATAATTGTAAACAATTATTATTATTATTATTATTATTATTATTAGATCATAATAAGGTTATAATAATATTAAAGACCCAGTTTGTTCACATTGTGACCATTTAACACAAACGATTTCTTATTGATATGACTTTCAGTCCTAAATACAGAACCCTGCCTCTCTACCTCCCTCAGAAATCTCCTCCCCCCAAAAAAAAACTGCCTATTCTGTACACAGCTGTCCACACCTTGTAGAGAACCACAAGCAGGGCTTTCAGCCACATCTGTCGGATGTGGGGTTTGAGGGCCCAGAGGGAGCAGCGTGGGGGCTGCTGGAAGTAGTGGCGCAGCTGGGGACAGGTGCAGTACTTCAAGACCTGCACCACCAAGGGCAGGAGCTGCTTCCCCAAGCTGATGTTATAGTCCATCACCTGGAAAAGCCAACAAGTTAGTACTTCAGTTCCCCCAGGGCCCTCAATGAGCAACAACTGGAACAAGCACAACTGCAACTTACTGAAGTGCACAGTAATTGCGCAGAGGTATCTGCTCATTGAACACTCAAAGCCTTTCAACTTGTGAGAAAGTAATACAGTGTCTAGAAATAAATTACAATTTCAATGGCAAGCTCATCTTTGTTCTCACTAGAGGTCAGAATTTAATGCTTGTCAAAGTTAGAGTTCAATTGCTTTGGATGGCATTAAAATGAAAGGTCATTTAATCACAAAATATGATGATGTAGGTTTGAACGAAACTACATCTGAACTGTATTTCTAACTCAAATAGATTCCAGGAAAAAACAATTTTATTGTTCTGAGGTTCTAAATAAAACCTTGAGCCATGAACCTGTATAACTTCTGAACCATTTATCAAATCAGGTTGAAATTTCTCTGTGATGAAGTGAGAGTAGGCACCATCTTGGCTAAGACTTGGCTCAACTGCATGGCCTTCATCCAGCTGAGTAATTGGAAAGTGCTGCAGAGCACTTTGACTTTGCCTAACACAGACTTGGGATATGATATTTTTTAGGAATCAGAACATGATGTCCATATCATAATGAATCTTACAAACAGCACACAATCTTAATATTAATAAGGAAATGGAGCAGATACTGTGAGCATTTAAAGATTTGTGACATATTGTAGTGCTTAGCTAAAGAAGACAGATCTCAAATAAATTTTTCCAAACAAAATCAACTAAAGCATAATACATTTTCTTTTACACACGAAAAGATTAATTTAGGATGAGTGCCAAATTCTGTTTTGAAAACAATAAGGTTTGACTTTGATACCCTTTCTTTGCATGTAATTATCCAGGAATAATTAGCTGACAGCTTGTAATCTGCAGTAAAGACAAACTGATGACAATCAAATACAATGAGCCCTTGCAAATCAGATTCTTAAAGGCTTGGTGAAGCACCACTACCCCTCACCTGGGCAATGCCAGCAATGAAGGCATTGAAGCAAGTGGAGGTCCTCATCTTCTGTGGTGCAATCATGAAGCAGCCCTCTTGCTGGTCAAAGCCCAGCAGCACATACAGGTGCCTTTTTACAGTGTTGAAGGCCTTGGCACTGCTGATGTCTGCTTCAGCGCTGCTCTTGTCCTTTGCCATGAACTTCATCAGTACCATGATCAGCTGATGCACGGTCTGGTGGTCTATCCCAGCATCCTCTGGCAGTGGGTCCTTGATCATGGTGTCATCTTCGGGAGTGCTCTGGCCTAGGAGAGGGGCTAAACTGTCAGTGTACAGAGCCAGTGTGCGGTTACAGAGGAGAACATCAGTGATGACCTGCCATTCTTTAGGTGCTTAAATACTGTAGATTTGTTTGGATTCACACTGAGGGGTAAACATTTAAAATGGTCTCTATTGTATTTATTGTATTGTATTTATTGTATTGTTTTCACTACAAAAGCACAAATGTCATGCTTGAACAGCATCTCCGTTTATTACAAAGGAAGTTTTTTTTTAAGTATTTAATATAATAGAAATTAATTCTTATAGGTATATGAATTGATTTGTATTTACCACCATACAGAAGCAAATTAACTTTCATCTCATATTAATTCTGTTTGAGGTAGGAAGTAAATACTGTACATATATATTTATTTTTTATTCAGATGTTACACTCAGAATAAAGAGGGGTAAGGATTTAATATTATTTAACATTATTTAATTGATTATTTTAAATTGCTTGAACATGAATATTTCTCTCGATTATGGAAATTCATACAAACCCCCACCTCTTTAGTACATTTGGTGGATTTCACAAAAACAAGGTGAGGTGGTGCAGGAGGCTGAGGCTTAAACTGAACTATGTGATACGAACATCACTTGCCAATGAACAATGAAGGAGTAATGTGAGACCCAGGCAGAAAGCAGAAGCAAGCAATCCTGGGTGTCAAAACATTGGCCAGACAAGGTCAAAGGTCAGGACAAAGAAGCAGGAATATTACCATAAATGGAAACCTTCCTAGTCTCATCCCGTTATCCACATTAAGAAATGTAGCTTCAGCACAAATTCTGTTAAACAAGTAATGTATGTAAGCCACTTAAAACCTCTATTTTGTGGCTATCATGTTGCAGTAGCTCCAAAGAACTGTAAAACCTTCAGGATTGGAAGAAGTTAGCTGGGTGGTAAATACTCCAGGTAAATTCTGGGGGATGAATTTAAGGTGCCTCTACAACAGCCTGAGTAAATAAAGTTTTACAGGAAGAATTTATCTATCCCTGTGTCAGTATAGCTCTCTGTATACTGATGCACTACATACTGATATGATTATTGTTTTAAAGTACAAAAAACTTGTCCTGCAGGTCATTATAAACTGAACTCACTAATTTATGCAGTGTAAGAGCAGTTCTTTCATGTTGAACTTAAAATGTTACTCTAACATCTGTGTGCATCTTCCTTTCAGTTTCCTGACTCTTCCCCCTTTTAAGTACATCCAGGAATTCTATTTTTGCTTCATGGCCTCCCTCAATCCCCACAAAAAACGTCCGTTTTCTTGCATTGAAACCAGAGTTAATTTGGTTATTTACCTGGCAGGACTTGTTCTATCATATCTCCCAGAGTTGGAGCTGACTGCTCATGCCTCGTAAGTCTTAGAGCTAAAAACCACACATGGAAAACACAATTTAGGAAATGTTCAGGGGTACCACAGGGACACATATACAAGTTTCAGTTGAGTTTTCCTACAGTCTTCCTAAAGTCTTTTGACATGTCTTCCAATGTTTAGAATACAGTGAGAGGCATCGGAAAATATTTTTTTTTAAATCTGATTGTCATATGAAGCAAATAAGAGTTATAGCAGAGTTTCCAATTTACCTTGCAATTGCAAATGTAGAACTGTCTAGTAGTAACACTCATCGGTGTCCTTGCAACTTAAATAGTAATGGAGATACTGTATGATGGCTTTATCTAGAAATAATTGCTTAGTAGACCTACAAAGATATTTTTGTAGTTCCACATAGTCTACATTTGAACCCAAACTTTCTGTACTAATCGTTGCCTTGGTATAGGAAAAAAAAACAACCAATAATCAAAGGGTTATTGACATTTGATCTTTTTCACATGTGTTGTTCTGTGTGTTTTACCAGAGGCATTAAAGCCAACTTTTCTGAAACATGGATATCTGAAACATGGATAGTGTTCCGTGGAGGAAAGTAAAAGAAAATAAAAAAAAATAGTTCTTAGACAATAATGGATGAATTGCTAAAAAAAACACAAACAAGAGGAGGTGAAATTGGCACAGGTGAGTGGCAGCCAGCAGGAGAGTGAGGCAAACAGACTGACAGACAGGCAGAGGCAGCCACTCACGCAGCCTGTTGCTCAGGGTCTCAGGCAATGACAGTGTTCTTTTGGACTCCGAGGGGCCCTTCACGCTGTCCCTGAGGGAACGTACGCTCTTCTGCCGGTTCCGAGCAAAGCGGGCTCGCTTGATTTTCCACATAGCAGTATCACTGAGGTTCGCGACATTTGTCCGGACAGCTGTGATAGCTGAAAGGGAGTGACAGACAGCCACTATTAACAAATGAGTGCATAAACAGTGTGGCTTATCAAAACAACTATTATCCTCCACTGTTTGGGCTGTACCTCCAAACTCAAAATGATGCTGTCCCCTTCTCAATAAGCAGTCATTACAGCAGGAGGTCTAAAGTCAGAACAGATGCTAGATTGCCTGAAATTACCTGACCTTCAACAGGGAATGGATATACTGTATATGGCATATTTTAATGGGTGAATCATGAGTGCTAATAACATTTATGACCACTTCAGAATTAAAAAGTGGGCAATGTTATTTAGAAACACAGGCCAAAACAGTATATTCCAAAATGCAGAACTACTGTAAGTGCTACTGTACCTACATTTTCAAAAGTGGTCAACAAAGGAGTTAAAACATTCAGCATGCAGTGTGTATAGTGCCTTTCTAGGGTGCCTAGGGTGCAATGACTATCTAGTGTGTGCAGTAGGCCTACAATACCAAAACAGCTCTCTGGAGACCTTTGAAGCAATAGTTGTAATAGTGACATATTTCAAACTGTATTTACCATCAAAGGTGAAACCTCATTCTGTCATGCTTATGAAACACAATGTGTAGTTCTTTTGTGATCCTTTATAATGTTTTAGTTTTTTTTGTAATTCAAAAACTGCACATGAGCATTTTTAGATGAAAATTGCCTGCATTTTTAAGGTAGATGTGTATTTGTCACACAAGCACGAAACAAGATTGAAAGTTGCACTTGGGTTTAGAATTTCAGTAAGCAAAATGTTGGAAAAATACTAGAGAACAAAGATTTTAGTCTGCCTCACTGGAACATGCACTTGATTTTCTAAGAAATGTTTGAAGGTTGAGAGAAAAATAAATGAACATGCCAGGAATAATATTTCATCCACCATTTTTAGTTAAAAATAACTTAACCCAACAATGTTCTTCTATCACTTTTACTATTGTAACTTTTGGTAAAAGAAAATGTGTTTGTATTCTTTTCCTATGAATTTCTTGAAAATTTTACTGTGTAATTATAAATAGAACATGCTACCAACCATGACATGTCTAAAAATACATTCTCTTTATGTGTCAGAATGCTGTTTCCCATGGATTTAAAGACTTAAATTTAAGACTTAAAAAGAACACATACTGGTGGGGAAAGGAAACTCTTTGTTGCAATCAAGATGAAGCTGGGCCTCGAGGGAGAGGGTGTCAAAACGGTTCACAAAAAACTCCCAGCTGAGGGCTGGGATGTCCTGCTTCAGGAAGTGGAGCAACAGAAGCTTGCTGAGAATTATGGGACGGTCTTTTATTACTGTGTCAAACTGAAAATCCAGGCAGAGGCACAGGCCCTACAAAGGGACAAACATAGAGAGATGAATTTAATAAAATGCCCAGGACAGCTAAGCTTCTTTTGTAACAAGCTCCTTTTCAGACCAAGTATCACAAAACTAATTAAGGAACTGATATTGAAATAGGCCCCATAACAGACAATGCAGGAGAGACTGGAAGCCGAATAGATCAGAAAGCAAAACCTTATCTAATGTAATTGGATTCATTAATTCTATCATTTTTTGTAGCCAGTTTTTCAATGTTCTATTATGCTAACATTTTGCTTGTGTGAGGATATTTCTACACCCCAAGCTTTTTTAAGAAAAAGGTGTTACACTAAATACTCTTGAATCTATTTGTCATGCCATTTGTGACTTACACAACAGTATGGTCAGTATTTACAAAAGTAAATGATGTACGAAGGTACCAAATCCATCTCCAAATAATGCCCAAATAATTCCCAAAAGGGACCCTCAGTGCTACACTAGTTGGGGAGAGTTATACTTGCCTGTAATGCAGGCCTTTTGATGGTATCCAGTAGTAGTCTGGCCCGCGTTGCCACAGCAGGGTTGACATCTTCTACTGCTGCCAGGAAGCAGCAAAAGGAGTGAGCCAAGGAGTACTTAAGCAGGTGGTTTTTTGTCACAGATGCTATATCTATAAACCGACAGAGTACAGCTACTCTCTCCACTGAAACACAAAAGAAAAGAGAGGACAGTTATTGTTGGCCTGTCACACTGATTAAGTGCTGTAGCCCTCTCAGTCCTACATCATCCTCTCTATTTACAAACCGACTCTGTTTTTCTTAACTTTGAGGGCAATATGGAGGTGCAGTAATTAGCAATGCTACTGTACCTTGCAGCACTGGGGCCCTGGGTTTCATTCCTGGGGTGCTGTCTGCATAGAGTAAGTATGTTCTATGTGTGTTAATTGGCCCTAATGTGAGTGTGTATGTGTTTGTGCTTATATGTGCCCTGCGGTAGACTAGTGTCTTATCCAAGATGCATCTTGCCATGTGCTCAATGTTTCCTGAAACAGGCTCTGGGCCACTGAGACCCTGAATTGGATAACTGAAAGTGATGTGATGATGTAATCTTTGAGAGACTTAGAATTCTTTTTAAATGTGTTTTTCTTTTACTTTTAATTTTCATACACTGTGGCTGGATTAAGTATTTCAAGAGACACAACAAAATGTATGAATATCCAATGGCGTTTAGTGCTGGCATTAAAAACAAGTCCAAAATGCCTGCTTTACACCTTAACACCAAAAGATGGCAGAATAACAAAAGGAAAGGGACATCCATCCTAACTATAAAAAGAACAGATACAAAGGGACCAAAGGTTTATACTGTACTGAACAGCAAAAATAAACATGCCCGAAACATCAAGGCTCCAATTTATCCCTACATCTCTGCAATGATTTCAGTGTCTAGAATAATTGAAATAAATAATTTAGGACAGATGAGGTCTCAAAACTTGCAGTCATTTAAGAAAAGGAGAGACAGTCACCATAATATGACAAAAGCACCAGGTTTGATAAGGCATAAGGCATTTAGTATTGTTTACTCCAAGGTCTATCCGGATCCCTGGATATGTACTGTATATGCTTGAACTCTAATGGGGTCTCCATGCTCCCACACCGTGGTCCAAGTTCACCAATTTGCTGAGCCAATAGCTGAGGCTGGATTAAACACACTTCCTCTCGATCAGAACCGGTAACCATAGGAACTAAAGATAAGACAGGGAAATGCTGGCATACAAGCAAATGTCTTAAAGCTCCACACTTTTGAAGTGAGGTGACAGTATTTCTGTGAAGATTATGTTTCTGCTATCAGTTAGCACAATCCTGATTTTTTTTTTCTAATAAATCAACAATAGACAAGAGAAAGAACACTGTAAGGTCATGAATACAATCATTTTTAATCAATCACAATCAATCATTTTCAGAGTGTAAGTCATATAATTTTAAAACTGAGACAATGACAAACAAGGTGGTTCACTTTTCTCATAATACTTTAAAAACTATCATATTTTTTTTTTCAGAGAGATAAAAATACTTACTGCAAGCATTAGAATTATAATTTGATGATAATAGAAAAGAAGATTACATTGGGAACAAAGGCTACAAAAAAACAAAGGGAGAAATGAAATAAATGATTGGGTAATTAAATGCTTATACCTGAATGCTAGGGGTATAGATTACATAAACACATAAACACATTAGCGGGCAGTTATGATGTTCGGAAACGTGGCAGAGAGGAATGTAACAGTAGTGGATACACTCTGTCTGTGAAAGATGGAAAAGTTAGAAGGGGGAAAGGTATAGCACTATAGTACTATATATCAAAAATAGAATTCAGGTTCAGGAATTTAAGTCAGAATAATTGAAACCATTCAAAGGTATTGTGTCAGGATTAGGCTATACTGTACTGTATATAGACCTCCAGATGCCGATATTGATCATAATTGAACACTGTACAATGAAAAGAAGGATTTAAAAAAATGCAGAAAATAAAATGGTAGACATGGTTAATGACGGCTTTTTTACCCAGTGTGTCAGAGCACCTGCACAAGTTGTAGATAAGTCTTGTCTTTTCAAATAATTTAGAAAATGGAAGGCAAGCCGAGGTGAAAGAACCACTTGAAAACTGTTATGGGCACTCATAATATACCTTGAAGTACATTTTGAAAATGTTAGAGTTGAGTCCAAAGCAATAAAATTCCAGAAAGTAGTTTTTACAATAATGTGACACAGTTTAAGAGAAACACTATGGGATGGAATAGAAATAAAATGGGTGGCAATGATTTACACAAATTTTGTTCAAAACCCAAAACAAATTTAGAGAAAGGGTAAGTAAATAAAGAGCTAAAAACAATTGTTCAATAAATCAATTAGGAAAAACATAAGGGAAAAAATGCTTTAGAAAATTATTACAAAACAATTAATAAGGAATACATCAAAAGGATAGAAAAAAGGCCAACACTAAGGAGCCTTATGTTCTAATTGAAAATGATTAAGATATCTTTAAATTTATATGAGCCTTCTGCTGTTCCTGTCCTGGCAGTATGTTCACCCATGAGCAGCTTCCAGTATCTGTGGAGTCCTCAGCCCATGCTTACCTGCTTCAAAGCGCATCTTCCAGTCTTTGCTGTTGAAGTTGCTGTCGATAATGCCCCAGAAGATGTCTGCTCCATGAGGGAGGGAGAGGGCATGGAGGAGCTGGGGAACTGCCAAGGAAGCCAGCTGGCAGAACTCAGACTTCAGCACCCGCCAGAGACTGGAAAATCACAAACAATAGGAATTCTTTTCTGCCGCATTGTTGTACACCCCCGCTTCACACTGGGGGACCAATATCAGAAATATTTTGCTATCTTGCTTGGCTTCAAGTAATCGGTAAAGAAGTCACTCAACACTGTGGTACTTAAAATCTTTACATCAAAAAAACTTCATGATATCAGAAATGTAATCTTATTCAAATATTCTTATCATGCAGCAATTGTGTTTTAACTGCTTTATCCTAAGATGTTTACACTTTGTATGGACCACAATACTCATGGGGAGAACTAGAGGGGAAGAGCCAGGCCAACGAAAAAGGAAATGGCTCATTTACTAAATGACTATTTCACTCAGGAGTTCACTAAGGAAGAATCAACAACAGCAGACATTCAAAGTTCGATACTAAATACATAGTATTAGCATAGCAGATGCAGAAGTGTCTCAGGTACTACAAGTACTGAAGATCAATAAATTCCTAGGCCAAATGGTATCCTTCTAATTTGTTCTCAAGGAAACAAGAGTTATTCAGAAGACTTTGAAAGAATTCTTATAGTAGTCACTTAAGACAGGGGTAGTACCAAGAGACTGAAGAATTACTAATTACTATGGACTGCGCAAAAAAGTGATATCACATGATAGGAGAAAAACTGTAAAAGCACAGTAGAAGTCTTTCCACAAAACTCAAGATAAAAATAAGAAATCGAAAACTCTTGTTGGTTCTTTCTTCAGTTGTCAGCCCCTGAGGCTGCCTTAGTAACATTGAATCTCTTCGTAACGTTTATTACTTTTCTTCGATGTCAGCCCTTCAGTCTGGCTCTCTGAGTACTGTCTCTCTGGCTCGTTTGTCTTAATTCTCTCATTTGTGGGGCTCTCCTGAAGAGTCTGTTCTCGCCCTTTGGATGTTACCTCCACACCTGCACACCCAATCAATTTATGCAGAGAGGATCACAGCTGTCGGCTATTACTGCAGTAACTACTTAGATATTTTCTAAGATGATGATTAGCTGATGGCCTGTCACACAAATGTAGTACCCATCTGCAGTGGCTCCTCCTTATTGTGTAAGCATGGTGTGGAGGACCAATGTACATAAACATCCATGTTTAGTGGGGGCTGGGAAAATCAGGCTGACGCAAGACCAGCTGATGTTTTTACCCTCCCAACCCTAGTGTGGTCTATAACCTACTGATCTTTCCATTTCCCTTTTTCACTGATAGCCTATTCTAACTGGCTGATTATGTTTGGCCAGGATCATATATCAAACCCAAGATATTACTGACTACTGACACAGCAGCAGTCAATAAGTTAATTTATTGTTCTCATTGTATTTTCTGTTTCACCATAGCATTATCTCAATTTGAGGCTTTACTGGTCTATTCTGAACTCAGAGTAGAGAGAATCCATTGTGTCATCCCCTTTATTGAGAGATATCAGCTTGCTGACAGCTGACACCAGTTTCATCCATAAACTAGATCCCTCCTAGTCTCTAGGACTGTTCTGACACCATCTTCTAGCATCTTAACCCAGTTTAACACTCCAGATTCCACTTCTCTGTTACACCATCCACAAACAAAATGAGAAAACTGAATCAAGTAATTAAAGACCAGTACATCTGACTTTTATTATGTAAAATGTAATGTTATAAATTATTGGGTCTAAATTAGAGAACATCCTATATGTAAAAAATGTCCTAGCAAATAGTCAACATAGATTTAGATTAGAAAATGTAAGTCCTGCCTATGTTCTTAAGTTGTTGAGAGTTACAGTACATAAACAAACACAGAATATGAAGTGGTTTATTTAGATTTTGATAAAGTTTCACATGATAGTTTAATTCTCAAATTAGGAATTCGTGAAATGTGAAAATATAATCTGATTTCTACAGATAAGGGCGGAAGCCTTAAATTAGAATAATTTCATTAGCGGTGTACCACTGGAACCTGCACTAGGACCATATAAATGATGTAGAGTGCTGTTATAGTTCCTAAACAAGGTATGCCTGCAGATGATATCAAATTAAAAAGATAAGCAAACACTGTGGAACCAGCAAATGAAATTCTAAAAGATTTAGATAACAGACTGTGAAAATAGTTTGCAGATAATGCGTAAGGTAGAAATCATCATTTTTGAGGTAGAAAAGTGAAGAAAAAAAAACTAGAGTGTAAACTCAAAATAGGAGTTAGAAGAAGCTACTGAAAAACCTAATTTATCTATGTTGACACCATTTATTTTTCTGGAAAATGTGGGAAAGCAATTAAAATGCAAAAAAATGTTAGGATATGTACTGAATAATTTAGAATTTAAAACAAAGGACATTAGATTTGTATATTATAATAGTAAAGCCTCATTTAGAAAATATGTTTTTTCCAAATTATGACCTAAGAGGATTGTACATCATAAGTGCACATTCGGGGAAATTGCTGATTTTCTCTGGCTTTATGTTAGCACAATCACTTTTTTTCCTACCTCGGAATTAACATCTTATCCTGAATGTAGGCCAGAAACTGAGGGTAGTCTTTCCGAGCAATGTATAAACACTCTCCATGAAGACAAAGGATTTTCAAGCAGTTCAACATGTTGAAGAGAATATCTGGTTCTTCAAATTTAGGCATTTCCTGTGAGATAAACAATAGAGAAGGTCAACAAAAAGCAATTTGTTGAGAAAGAATGAAATGTCAATACACCTGACAATCATGGTAATTAAAAAGATAATTGAATAAAGTGTGAATATGTGATGTCACAAGGCTGTACTGGTAGTGTGCTCCTTCTGTTTATACTATAGGGAGGCAAATACATATACAGTAGCCACAAATCTGTCTCCTTTTGTGAATATGAAAGGCTAGCCCCTTGAAAACAACATCCAAAATCTCAGAAGGAAATACAAGAGAGAACAAATCGAAGAAAACATTACCTGCAGTATTGTGTAAATAAGCTTTAAGGTAACCGGCAGTTGTTGGTAAGAGAACTTCTTGTCAGCATTGTTCTTCATGGCTATGGAACATGTATGAAAAGGAAAATTAATACGTTGAAAAAATAACACACTAATATTCTGTTGTGTCAACAGCAACTTGTAGTCCGTTTCTCTGAAAGGTTCTGATGTGCTACATGCAACTACAGTATGTCCCTTGGTCTATCTGTCAACTACTTTACTTGGCAGATCGTCGTCCAGCATAAATTGCCTGTGCCATGTAAAGTCAAAAGGAGACTTACTGTACATTAGTAAAAATCTGCTATGCCGCGATCTGGTAATGGTTGTGAAGCCAATAGATCATTTGCAGCAATTTGCTAATTCACTACTTTAAAACATATTTTCATGGGTTAAAAAAGTGTTGGTCAACAAAAAAATGTTCTTGAAAATGTATTTATTTAACATTTATTTATTGACCACCACTTTGTTATCAAAGTAGGAGTAGGAGTTGATAAATTAGTCAATATTCTTAAGGATTTAAGGTTTCATTGTAAATTATTACATTATACTGTATATGCATAATTCTTCAGTTCTCTGTGTACAAACCCATGTTTTCTTTGTCTCATTAGGTTAGAAACAGTACCTAGAAGGAGTGTCTATTAAAAGCTTAATTTAATCAATTTAATGCTACACCAAAAGCTCTGAAACTTTTGATGTTGATGAGGTTTTTAAAGAGACCTATAAAATGTGTTATATTCCGGACCTAGAAGATTCCTAAGGAAATGAGTTGGGACCTTCTGTACTTTAGAATTTGTGGATGTATAGTTGGGTGTTGGTCATGATACCACATTAGCCAGACAGATTGGTGTGTATGTTTTTAATTTTTATCTGGGTATCTTTCTCAGGCTTTCTCAAGATACAGTTAGAGTAGAAGAGGTACTGCAAAACTAGCTGCATAGAGGCATAGCTCACACCCCCAACTGTGAGTCCACAGATCATACACAGTGAAGACTGACATCAACGGAGCTGTGCCTGAAAAGGTCACAAATTATTTATATTTTGAATCATTCAGAACAAATTAGTGTCACCTAACAAAAAGAGTAAACAACAGTAAAAACTGTATAGAGTTCTTTCTGAAGATTAAATACACTCTTCAGAGTTATCTTGCGCCTAATGAAGAAAGTCTTTTACCAAAGCATGATTCCAGTGCTGATGTATAGATGTGTATCCGAGATTCTAATGCAGGTATGAATCATAAAATACAAGAGAAGGCAGGAAAATGAAATTAGAAAGTAGTTTGTGGGAGCGGCATGTTTGTGAAGAACCAAAGATAGGAATGCAGGGGGGGACCTTCTGATATTTTCATTCCAGCTGTGGACTGAAAAGGGCTAATAACCATAATGATCAATGGAAAGCAAAATTATCTTCAAGTATCTATATTTAAAGAATAATCCTAATCCTTGTATTAAAAAGACAGTATAATAAGAATGTCATTTACAAAATAACACAGGGTCATTAACATTTACATTAATATACAGTATAATGGCTAAAGCATGTTCCTTGTGTATATTCGTTGTTGCCATGGATACATACGGGGGTAGTCAGGAGAGTCGCTCTTGTTGCCAGGATTGTCTCCCTGCCTGCCAACAGGATTGTCCTCCTCCTCCATCTCTGTGCCAATGGTAAACTCTGGCCGAGGGAAGATTAAGCTTTCCTCCAGGCTGTCTGTTGGCTCCTGCATGGTGGCCATGAGAAACACAAGAACTTCACCATTTCTAAAGATAATTTTTCCTTGACTTTTTTTTTCATTTGGAATTACATTTTTTCAAATCCTCTTCAAATTTGTGAAATTGTCAATTATTAATTATCCCAGTTCACTAGCACAGTGCTTGTAGCAAGAAAGCAGAGACTAGACTATAGGCACACATGCTCCAAACCTTAACCCTTTAGAGTTCTTACCCACTGAGCTCTATAAAACATTCACTACCTCAGTCTTTCACGTCTTTTACTACCTTCAGTCTTTTAAATCAGATTAAAATGATTTATCTGCTATTGAATATTTTGGTAACATCTAAGTCCACTTCAGGCATTTTACTGCATGAACCCAAATAAAAGGTATTATGTCTTAGCCTCTAGCAATTGCACACTGAGTGATATTGTGAAAGAGATTTATATTATTGGAGAAAAACTGGAAACCAGCTAACTTGGATTAAATGTACACCCCCCTTTAAAGTGTGATTTCACTTTTCTGAAGAAAAAGGCAGTAATATTTCTTTGTAGCATATTTGCTGTTTTATTTTTAATGACCAAAGTCAGTTTCAACAAAGTACTTGTATTTTTGTGTTCAATGGCCCCATCTTTGCTGAACCAAAGTACGAGGTTCTAAAAAAAGTGCAATTGTAAGCTTAAAGAAATAGATAAAAGAAGAAAGCTAAACAGGTGAAAGTATCAGCTTGTTTATAAGCCCCTTCTTCACCCACCACCAGCCGAATCTCCTCCTTGGGCGCCAGCCTCTCCAGAAGCTCGCAGCCCAGCTGGTAGCAGAGGATGCTGGACTGGCACAGGTTGCACTCCAGGGCCTTCTCGTCCTTCTGGCAGGTGTGGGACCCCCCCCACGGCGCCTGGAACACGTTGTTGACGATGCTGATGATGTCTTTCGACAGGCTGTTCTCGAGACCCAGGGTCACGCCGTCGTCTTGCAGCTCCATCTGTCGGCCGTAGTTAATTAGTTCAGTTTCTCACCAGTGGAAAGAACTGATTAAATCACATGCTCGTTTTTTGTGTGTTTAGTTGATTTTTAAGAATACGTATTTTTTTTAATTACTCTCTTTCAAGAAGGGCACTCATAAAGTAGTAAATTAAAGGATTTTAGATTTGAATTGAGGCTTCAATGTAGAATTTGTAGAGCTGGAAAAGAAGGAAAATTCTGTTTTTTATATATTGTCAGTTTCTCACTAAAAAAAATTCTGCACGTGAAAATGAGGCTTGCTTCCAACACTACTCTACAATACCATTCCATTGCACAACAATGAACTCATGTTGTTCAACACACTAGAACAAGATGAAATGACTTGTGTTATTCTGTATATGGAGACGAGTGCGGTGTGTGATGGTCATCTTGCAAGCACCAAACATGACTCACTTGCTTGAGGATGAGGTCGAACATGAGGATGAAGCAGCCAAGGTTCATGTCATCGTCTTCGCAATCAATGTCAAGAGTCCGGTGGCCGGAGGCAGGGCCAAAGTTCTTGAAGGGGCTCCGGAAGGGGCTACAGCGCAGGGGGCTTCGGAAGGGACTTCGGAAGGGACTAGGGAAAGGGCTCAGGGTGTGGTGCTGCCCGCGTCTCCCAGGATCAGACACCACACTCACCTGCACGGGGGGAGAGGGAATGTACAGACATCGGCTCTCAAACTGGCTCACTGCAGGTTATTTTTTGTGGGTGTTTTTTTTGTTCTGCTGTGCAATTTAATCTATGTATCACAGATCAGAGAAAAAGCAGAAAAAAAAAGGTAAACTTTTCTGGACCGCTTTATACAGCCCAGTTCTTTGATCCAACTAGAACATTGGTTTTCTAAACCTATAATTCTTTATTGTGGGTATAAAACATTAAACAAGCCCCATTTTTAAGAAGACATGTTCCTAACGTCCTTCAGAAAATCTGTTCTGGTTTTCTTTTCAGCTCTCCATTACCTATTGACACTTAAGTTTTCCTCATCAGAACTACTGGTGCTTGTTACTTAAATTAATGTTTAATGAGTTTTTTTTTCCGGGGGGCCCTTTTTTATGAGATCACATTCAATAAGAACTCCCAATTGAAAATGAAAGTAAAGTGTAGAATAGCAATTATATAAACTATAACATAATTTTGAATCATGCTACAGTATAGTTAATTGAATCATAAGCACAATTGCAGGTCTAAGGTCAGTAGTAAACACGATTATAGTAGATGCACTGTTGCTTGACTTACTCCTAAACTTAGGATGAAAAGTTTCTCTATGTTTATGGGAATTTTTGTGGACAGTCTTTGAAAGTCTCTCTGTGGACCCCTTGTTAAACAGAAACAATCGTAACACATAAAACGCAACGATCCCATAGGAAAAGAGTTGAAGACACCTGTAGTTGCATGTCACACAAAGTAAATGAATGTACTGTAGATCTAAAATCCATGATCAAGTTAGTTGAATGAAAACTCTATGCTAAGAGGGGGTCTATTAACAAGTAAAAATCCACACAATAATAATTACTACCATTACTTTGCAATATTTTTATTTTGCCTTAAGACACTGAAGTTTGGGGAAATTTGAGAAATAATTAGACAACTAAGTATCTCAGATCTACTCTGTCTTCTCTGGTTAGAAAAAATTTAAATTCTTACCCTCCGTGCCCCAAGATTTCCTGCCAAGTCATTGGCTCGTGCTTTTCTCTGATTGGCTAATTCTTTTACAGAATTGACCCCATCAGAGAACATACCGATGAGCAGCTGCAGTGGTACCACAATGTCCAGCTCAGAGAGCACCTGCACAAAAGACAAAATGCAATTAATAAACCGTGATAAGCGTCAGCCTTTTCTATTAGTATCTGTATTGTGTGTACCCTGCTGTCATCAAGAAATTGAACATGGATTAACATTTTCTCCCTACAATGAATAGGCACACAGATTAACTGGAAAGGGTACATAAAAAACCATTGATCATGTTAAATTGTTCCATACTAATTATTCAGCTCAATAATTTGTTCCTATCTTAATAGTTTATCATTATATCTTAGTTGTTTTAACTGGCATGGGCAAAAACCTTTTTCTTTTGGAATTCCAAATTGGATTCACCAGCTGTTAATGATCTCTGCTGTTTTTTTCTACGCGTGTGCTAGCACAAGCTAGCACCATCTGCTTCCCGTACTGCAAGCCCCACAGTCTCTACAGTAGATTTAGCATCAAAGTGATCTGGCTTGCAATCACGATGCTTACAAGCACACGGGCGCTCAGTCTGCCCCAGGGCTCTAGGGTCTGTGTTACACGGCATGCAAGGATAGCCTAGCTCACTGAAATCCACCCCACGCTGCAGCACAGACTGTGTGGTGTCTCTTGAAATGTCACTCACAGTGTACTAAAAGCATAAGCTAGGATCACATCAGCCGTGACAGGGATAAAGGGTTCATTGTGTCCTCCAGGCCAGGACTTTTACCACTTAGCATCCTGTGATACTCTCGCATTATAGGACTTCAGGTCTGTACTTACATGCAGCCATAGCAAAGCCTGCTCCTGAACAGATGCTGGATACCCAGAGAACCGGCAGCTGATGAAACCAAACATCTCCTCCATGGAAAATGGCAAGGGGCACAGTTCTATATCAAACATTTTGCTGCAACAATACAAATAGATGAGGACTGTAAATTTGTCAGAAAAGTCATCATAGACAACAATGACATTGCATAACACAGCTTATTGTGTCTGTGGCGAAAAAGGAGCAAATATTATCTTCTTTCTGTAAGGCTCAGCTGGTAAAAATAGTTTGGTAAGCAAACTATTTTTTGAAGGTTCACACTTTTTTTTTTCAGTGCTTACACCAAGCCATTCTTTCAGTGCAAAAAATACTGCAATAAAGCTTTGGCCATTTGATGAAATTTACATAAATAATGTGTTTATCTGAACCAAACATGCAAGTGCTTAGCAATTTAAAACAGAAATCTAGTCGTGCAAAAATATTTACATGGTCATTATGCATTAAGACTTGCAAATTAAATAAAAGCCTTTGAAAAGTCTCTTCCTCTGTGACTAAATTAATTGATTCACATGACAGCATCATTTTAGGATTAATACAAACATAGGTAATTAGCTGTCACTTGTCTACAATGACATAAAAGCAGACTCAAAATGTGACCATTTTAATACATTATTCTGTAGGCAGCAGAAATATGAGTGGTAGGTACAGTATGGAAGGTATGGAAACTGAAGTATTTTCCAAACATTCTTGTTATAGTACTTTACTGTGATGGTATTAAGTTCTGCTACATTGTACAGGATCTGATATTGTGTGAGTGGGTGCTCTAGAATCATGAAATTCATAAACACATGGTAAGTAGGAGTGGGAAAGATTAGGGCTTAACCTTTGTTAAAATTCAATTCAGTAGAATTCAAACAATATATACTGTATATGGGTACATCTAAAGAAGCAATGGTGACCTGTCAGTCTTACCTGAGCACCTCTCTAAATTCCTTTAGCTGGCTGTCTGGCACCTCTGTCCTGATGGCCTCCAGCCATTCTGGCATGATGCACTCCCAGAGAGGCTGGCTGATGACATTATAGGGGATCAGACACAGGATGCGATTCAGGCCTTCCTTCAGCTGCATCACTGTGCTGCAGGACTTGTCCCAGTAACCCCCCACCTGAAAGAAGATTACACCTGGCACTGAGAGCTCACAATGTTTCTTCAGGTATTACAAGGACAGAAAATAAACATTTTCATTCTGGGCTATAAATATCTAAAGATATTTATATCAAACTAACTTAGCTTAGATAGGCTAGTAAATTACTCACTACAAAAAACAATTTGATCAATTTGAATTATTACAGGAATAGTTTCAGGATTACATTTTCTGTATTCTTTATTAAACAGTTAGGATTTTTAAGTCAAATACAAATTAAAAGCTAAAAAGTGTTGTACGGAGTGCTTTTTGTGTGCTTACAGTATTTTAGAACCGTATTTTTGTATTTTAATACATTTTCTCCTCCTCATTAATAAAAAAAATCTTAATATACACTTTCTTCTGCAAAGATGGTTCTATATTATACACACAAATATATATAAGAAGCCAATATTTCCTTTGGTGATCTTCATCATTTTCTAGCTGTTGTAAAAGCTTAGATGACACAGTCACTGTGTCAGCCTGTTGGTCACCCACTTATTTCCCATTCATGTTTTCTGAGTAAAGTTTTCAAGCCCTCCCCCTACCCCGCTCTCCCTCCGAACTTACTCGAGCAAATTCCACAGGCTTGGGAAGCAGGCACATAACCATAACGTCGAAGCGCACGTCGCACACTGTCTTCAGCCACTTTGTTACGAACTGAGGTTTGAGTTTCTCCACCAGGCTGCCCACCTCATCATCCATCATGTAGGCCGTGGAGTGGAACCATTGGAACACCATGCTGACCAGGCGGGCCAGGCTCTCCGTAGGGGTGTTTTCACTGGGTGTGCACAGGCTCACCTGTAGCACCAGGCATGTACCAATGCACAAAGCAACAGTTTATCACCAGACTTCCAAGCCTGGCAAAGTAATGCTGCAATACAGTAACTTTATTCATTCCACGTCTTGGGTGGTTAATTTTCTTAACTATTTCGGAAAGGTTGTTATAGTTTGTTTTGCAATTCTCCACGATGAACGTAGTTTGCATTCATTTATAAGCTAGGGCACTTTAAATGCAAATAGCGCTGTGTACGAAAAGGTCAGACTTGCACCATCACACTGGTATGAACATTATTGTACCACAGATTAATGCTGTATTTCTCTGAAAGGCCTGGGGTCTGTATTCATAAATCTAAATCTATTCAATCTAAATCTTCTCTTTCATGCCATGATTAAAAACCTTTCCAGACCAGCACTGAAACCTGTCTTAGGCACACCACAGTTATCAAATCAATGTTCCATTAGTCCCCTACATTGTAAATGGAAAAGAGGACCATTTTGTCTACAGTTTATTAAGTTACCTGAACCTCAGATCTACCCTGCATTTTGGAAGACACACAGCTGTCTGCTATGCTGCATGTCTTGATTATTTCAGGATCATGAGCATCAGTGTTATCCAAATTCACAAGGCGAGACTGGTGACTTTTTGAAAATTGCAAGATAAAACATTTTGTCTTCTATTTTACTGCTTGCAGGAATACAGTACATTTAGGAATACAGTACATTCAGGGCAGTTATAGTGCAGTTATAGTGCATTGAACTGTACGAAGACTTACACACGTAATTGAGCTCAGCTTTTTTAGAAAGTGTGTTCAATTATCATATGTTTAAGGCTTGTATGAATTCTTAAGATTTAAAGATATATACAGTATTGTACCTATATAGATGATCTCATCGACTATAACAGTATTTCAAAAATTGTTTTTCTTATGATAAGCTTGAAATTATCTTGATCCCTTTCTATGAAAAGCCAATAGAAGGATATTAACCTGCTGTTGTGCCAAACTTACTTTAGACCAAGACCGTGCACAGTTAAACTTCTGTTTAACCTGATGTAGACTGTCACTAATAGCTGGTTTGAAGTTGGATTTAACATGGGTTGTGTGAAAACCTGCAAAGTAGACAGGTTTTTAAAGGGTCAAAGCAATCCCAGTTAAGTCCTAACATAACTTTTTTGAGCCATAAGTGTTACTTTGTAAAATACGCAGACCACACAGGCCACTATTTGTGTACTCTGTATGACACACGTCTTCAGGTTGTCACCACAGTGAGCACTGAATACATTAACAAATTAACTTTAGGCTGCATGCAAGGTTCTCACCAAAAACCAGATGCCAAACTGGCTAAGTAGTCGCTGGTCGTGCTGGTCATCATCCTTGTTGTCAAAGTCGATATTATCCAGAGAGTGATGGGAGGAGGACAGGCCCATCTGTCTGCGCCGATTCATCTCATACTCACGCAGCTCTGCATGGAACTCTGCCTCCTTCAGCAGGCTGCCACAAATAGAAATGTACAGCACAATGTACAGGGCATTCAGGGCAGATAAATCTGTCTACATCACACAAAAAAGCAAACATTTTCCATCACTGTAAGGGAAGGGAAATCCTGGCTGCCTAATTTTCTCAAGCATTCCCATCCTTTATCTTAATATTATCCAGTTTTAACCAGTTATTGTTTGTGGAATAAATAAAATTGCCTTAATTAAAAAGTGTTACTGTGGTGTAATTAGATTCGAAGCTATGAAAAGAAAGGTCTCAGGAAGGATTAGAGATATGATACAGCACAGGAAAAAGGCAAATCTAACATTTAAAACCAAATACTGTATTCCCATGTAGGGAAATACCATAAAATAAAAGTTGGAGAGGAGACTGTTCAGCCCAGCTTTCCAATCTGTTTGACAGCAACTAAATAACCGCTAGAATAATAGAACGTTTTTCAAAAGTTGAAAAAGTGGTTTTCTGCCCTTTAAAGTCAATTACCAGAAAAATCCATTTCAATCTATTATTATTTTTTAATTATTTGGAACATGATCTTGTGGTTTAAAGTGCAGATGCCAAACCATGAGTCAACATTGATATGAGTCATGCTTTAAGCCTCAGGAAAAGAGCTGTTTCTTGACTGTTGTGTTAATTGGGAAGTCAAGAGAAAGTTAAAAGAAACAGAATAGGGAATTTCTGCACTTTTGCAGTGCTCTGCTGGAGCACCAAAACAGCTAAACTGCAAAAATGTGCAGTGCAGAAAACACAGGAGAAAGGAGAGCTGTTACATAATGTATACATTTCCGGTGAAGTATCAGTGGCTATTTTGTCTGGAAATATAATTCATCCTCAAAAATAAAACATGTATTACAATCTTCTTTTACACTGAAGCCTAGACCAGAGCACTGGAAATTATTAAAATGTGATGTTATTGTCTTTTTTAAGTAAATGACTTCAGAGAGGCTGTCATCGGAATTACGGTAGGTGTGACTTTACTATCTACTGTAGGCGTGTCACTGTGAATATGATGAAAATATCAGTCTTCTTTATGCTGGTTTTACTTTTCTTTAAACAAATCATACAAAAATAGACTGTTCCTGCATATACAGCTACCTCAGGTTTATGAGCACACCAAATGAACTAAAGAATTGGGAAGGCAGTATTGGGGGTTAATGGGAACTGCAATATGGCTGCCCTGATAACGGGCTTTAAGATACACAGCTGCTGGCTCTAACTCTGCTCAGAGAGGGGATCTTTGTCGATTCACATCTCACCCCTACCTGATGACTGCTTCCACAGTGCACACCAGCTCCTCCGCTCCACACTCGCGGGTATTGATGGGGGGAGGGGATGTCTGGTAGAGGTGGGTCTCCGCCGAGGCTCCCACCTCGCTGCTGTGGTGGTTGACATGGCAACGCTTGCAGTAGCGGACAGGTCTGTTGCCATGGCGCCCGCAGCAGCCGGCTGAGAAGCAGGTGACGACTGCCCTTCTGACGTGTGAGCTGCAGTTCTGTTGAGGGGAACAAGAGTGATACAGAGACACCATGATCTGGATTTTCAAGGAGACTGAAATAATTGAACAGATTTACTGAACTGTGCATTAAGAGCAAAGCCTTACTCCAATGTTTTATGATGAAGTTCTAAGAAATTAAAGCTTTAGTATTATTGTAGTAATAATAATGCTAATCAACAAAGTACAAAAATATAAAGTGTCAAGGGATTTTAACATGGAAATGTTATTTGAACCAGGTATTGCAACCGGTTTAGGTTTCGTGTACAGCTTATTTGTCATACCCTTATGATTCACGCCTTTCAAAAATTAAAAAGACTTTATAGAAATGAAAGGAATGCATAGTGTACCATATGCAGTATGTGCATGTTTCAGTCAGGGATATGGTTTTCATTCATGTCTGAAATTATCTTTGTTATACTTTTAAATTGTGTAAATAATGAGTCAAATATTTAAAAAATAACAGATGTAATTCTTTTTTTCATGAGCAAAAAAATTACAAGATTTTTAATTGCAAACTTACATTTGTGACTGAAAAGGAATGTATCTCTTTTTATCAACTTCGTTTAATAAATATTATTGAGTCCTTTTATTTTTTAACATCTTCCTGTATCTAAAAAAAAATACTTTTAAATTTAAAATGAAATGTAAACCAATGAAAACACAATATTATATATATTATTTTCTAAGTTCACTTATTTGATTAGATCATAGTTTTATTTTTTTCCCCTTTTTTCTTATGATTTCATTGACACACAGTATATATTGTAGGTCAGCTCTCCTGGAAATATACCAGGAGTTCCCATATCTACTGCCAGTTAAAGTGCAGTTATCTACTTCTGTAGCTCATCAGGTGGGAAATATTAAATCAACTATTTCTTGGAGGTAAAAAAATCAATAATCATAGCTCAGAATGTAGCTTAAAAATCTTGTAAAATTTCAAAAACAGTAACAATTTCAAACTTCACATTTAAAAATAATACATTCTAAAATAAAGGACCTCACTGATAATGCCCAGAGCAAGCAATTCCATATGATCACTTAATCACTGATGGCCTGTGAGTGCATTGGGCATTGTTATGAAAGTGCAGAACAATCCTCAGTCGAAATGACATTCTCTAAAAATAAAACCAATAGACATGGGCACATATTTAATCTCTTTAGGCTTTGAAAGCCTGGCCCATTTACACAATGCATTATGGTCATCATATTATCATTTTGTTGCCAATGACATTAACAACGGCTCATCAGATCAACACATAATTTTTCCTCAAATAATCAGCTTAGAAAAGCTTTTTTATGCATTTAAGAGGAAGTCATGTTGATGTTTGGTTTCCTACATAAAACTTGCATGATTCCTGCCAAAAAAAAACTGCTAGATTCTTAAGGGCATAAGAAAATAGGAAACAAGGATGTAAGACAATAAAGGTGAATAAAAGTAATGTTTAATAATTCAAGAATTCAATCGAGCTGTTTTTAAAGTAATCCTACAATGTTGGCTTCAACATCAAGTCTAGGGAGTTATTCCAGAACTCTGAGAAAAAAAAA